ATGGGGGGGGGCTTCAGCCAAAGCTCGTCGGGCAGTCGCCGCCACTGTATGGATCCAGTCGATAAACTGTGCAGCCACTGGTAAATAACGCTCTCTGGAGTGAGTTTAGGGGTGGTTCTTGAAGTTCGCCTGACCAATAATAAACTACTCTAACTGGCCTGGTAACATACGGTACTATACGGTACGGTATAGCTAATCCACAGGCACTCTCTTTCTTACAATGCGAATCCAAATGGGTTGAATGATATTTATTTGAGTACGAATTGCGATACAAATATGACAGAAGTAGATCTACGCACGTTTTAGTTGTATAAATAACAGGAACATGCGATTGTGCATAGTAAAGACAGTAACATCAATTGAAGGTTGACATTGCTTATCAAAATATATTTATAAATCCAGAATTATTATTATTATTATTAATACGATTAATGAACCAAACATGTATTCATGTGATTTAGCTAATTAATGAAATCTAAGTGTATGTAAATAAAACATCATAACAATGTATGATTAATAGGAGTCGATAAATAACTATCTACTAAACGCAGTAAATACATGTAGGCCCGGACTGTTTCGGTATAAAAGTACTATATACTACAAACAGGAATAATAATAGAAATAGGCCTATATTATAGAATAATACTATAGTACTAATTTGACCATACTGTGCTTTCAATATTATTATTGTCATCATTGTCATCATTGTTATTATTATTATTAGGCCTATTATTATTATTATTATTATTATTATTATTATTATTATTATTATTATTATTATTATTATTACCACCATCATCATTAGTATTATCGTCAACATTGTTAAAAATATTCTATGTAATTGTTTGTCTTTTTTGTTGACTGTTCATTAGGATTTCCTTAAATGAATGTGATGTTTTTTTGCTGGATTCCTCCGGGCGACCATGTGGCTTTTGTCTGTTCATGTTTTTTGTTGTGTCTCTGTACTTTTCCGGTATAATTGAATGAATGAATGTGTGCCGCTGATCTAAACGCGTATGTTCAATAATAAAGTTCAGTTCACATAAACAGGGCTAGTACAGGGGTATAAGATCACCCTAAGATGAAGCCTGGTTATACTGTAATGGAAATAGATGAAATTCGCCTATGAATATTTATACATACCATCGTCATTAATTATTCATGACCTGACGGAACTGGTGCCCATATAACGCTTACCATGAAATTCGTGATACTGTTGGTGGTGGTGGTGGTGGCGCTGTTACAGGTTAGTGACGTCACATTTACATGACAACCACACTAACAAGGAGATTATTGTATTCAGCTTGGGTAGTACGTGGAAAATGAATTGGTGTAGGCCTAATGCGGGCTAGGCCTAGGCTTAATAAAAAGCGAATATACTCAGTAGCCTAGTTAATGTGGATTGAAAGACTAGTAAGTTTGTGTTAACCTGTCTAAGCTATAAGAATATAGGCCCTACAGTGTGTTAAGGTAGAATGTCAAATAGTTAGTGTGAGCATGGAGTAACTCCATTGGCATGGTGTGAGGCAGCAGCCCGGGCAGCAGACGAACCAGTTTGCGGGAAGTTTGACCCATACGACCTAGGCCTATCCTAGAGTCCTGTATCATAATTAGCTTGTGCTAACATATTATATTAATAAAATGCGTGTGTCCAGTTGTACTGTCTTCCTAGCTAGTAAAGCTTACAGAAAAAGACAGATACATAACATATAGGACTAGCCTAGGCTAGGGCCTAGGCTAGCCGCCAGGGCCTGGGAGGCCTTTCTAGGCTAGGACTAGTAGATAGGCTAGGTAGGTGGGTAGGCTAGTATTTGTAACTGGCTAGGCCCTATGCTAGTTTACAAATCTCTATTAGTCTTACTCTGGTTAAATGAATGATGGTATGCTAGGCCTAGACTAGACGGTGTAGGACTGTTTTGGCCATGATGTATGGAACACATTTTGTATTGTATGATCAATACAATTTGATTAATTAAATGACTAAATATAAATATCCTGATTATTGTAATTAAATTATAAATAGGCAAGTGTATTGAATTAGAAGTAGTAAAAAGTATATGAGGGAAAGGCAAACAACATATTTTAATATTTATGTCAAGAATAACAAACTTAAAATTCTCACTTATAACTGGTATAGCCTAGCCTATTTATTTGTATAGTAACTATCGTCTGTATTTTAATAGACAAAACGCAATTAATTTCCTGATTTTTCTTGATGTTGAATACTGTACCTCGTGGCCGAACTGGTTCGCAGTTGAAAGGGTCATAAAGTGGCAAGGCCCACTCTAGAGGCCTAGGCATTTCTCCCTAGCGCCCGATGCAACGACTATGTTGTTGGACCGAAATAAATAATTTTCCTAGGCCTAGGCTAGACATATTGGCAAAATAGCGTTATTTTGATTACCAATCCCTAGTAATATTGTGGTCTGAAAAAAGAAAAGTAGGTTGTGTTAATAATTTAAATATATTCAAATCTGTGTGATTTCATTTGTTTCTGTGTGGCTCTGTATTTTAGTAGGATGCCACTCCATAAGTCTCATAACTCGACTAATTTATATACCATCACATTACTTTGCAGCAGATAATTTTACAGGGTCCCTGGATATTAGCTGACTTCAGAAGGAGAGGCACGTAGATATAGTTGACAGTTGAAATATATGAACATGAATTGAATGCAGACTGTGACATTGTTTTTTTTTTTGGATACTAGCTGGATATTAGCTGACTTCAGAAGGAGAGGCACGTAGATATAGTTGACAGTTGAAATATATGAACATGAATTGAATGCAGACTGTGACATTGTTTTTTTTTTTTGTTTACTCTTTATATTCAGATATTAATTTTCAGCAAGTGAATTGAAACAGTTGTAATCATGCCACCAAAAAAGAAAGGAAAAAAGAAGGGAAAGAAGAGCGGAAAGAAGAGTGGAAGAAAATCAGCCCGAGCAAACTCGGCTCCATCTGGATTGAATCTGACAGAAGTGAGCAAGGAGTTTTTTCTGATTCAAATCCGTGACCTTGAGAACAGATTAGCAAGGTAACGATAGAGTATATCATATTATTTTTATATTTGTCCTACATGTACTCATATGCCATTATTGTGTGCTGATGTGTTTGGCAACCATGATGATGATGATGATGTGTGTGAGACAAAAAGAATCATTATTTTTTTATTTTTTCAAATAATTTTATTTCCATTTTAAATATTAATAATATTAATATGATATATGATTATAATTTTGTATAATGCCCAAACCTCTATATATTTAAACATTATCACCCCAGTCATTGGATACACACTATGAGACATGCTGGTACTCAATTCCAATTAAAGTGCAGCATTTGTATTGTCAGTAGTGATCAGAGCATTAGCATGACACAAATTGCAAACTAACTTCAGCCTCCAATATTTTGATTGGAGGACTAAAATTGTACATAAACTTGTGTAAAACCAAGTACTGTAGGGTCCATTTTTATCCCAACTGGAATAAAAATGATTTAATTAAATCTGACACTACATTTTCTTAGTAATGAACATCCATTATCTTGATAAAGCATTACTACAAAAATCAGTAATAACGTAAACCTGTGCATTGAGCCAGTCTGTATCGCAGAAAGATTTTTTTTTTAATATTTAAAACGACAGACACTTTTTAGTATACAAAAAGAGAAATTTTGTAATATCACGCACTAAAAAAAAAAAAAAAGAAAAAATCTCAACAATAATAGTCATATTTCTCAAGTCATAGTTGTTATTCTTGATTTAAGGCTAGTACAAATTTGCAAATATCCGTATTAGTTGTATATGTAATTGATGAAGACATGTCTGTAAAGATGGTATGCAAATATTTAATTTTTGATGATAAAATGAAAAATATTGAAAAAAAATGCTGTAATGAATAAAGATAAACCACATGAAAGAGAAAAAAATAATGTCAATTTCTAACACAAGGTACCAAAGAAAATGTGACGAACTTGAAGTAGCCAGCTCACAGTTCCAAGCAGAGTATGGTCAAATGTCAACTGACAAAAAAGAGATTGTTTCATTCCTGAAGAAGCAATTAGAGCAGAGGCAGGACGAGATAGCTGATCTGAATGACAGGCTGGTGGGACTGCAGCAGGCAAAAGATGCAGAGAAAGATGGCTATGAACAGCAGCTAACACAACTGAGGACAGAATTCCAAGAAACTAAAGATCAACTAACTTCAGAAAATATGATATTAAGTAAGGAAGGGATCATTTATGTGATGCATTTAATTATATATATTACTATTTTCATATATTTTTTCCATTATAAATGTACAGGTATGTACATCATCACACACAACCATTTTAAATGTAACAGTATAAAGTAAAAGGAAATTGCATTTTATGGTATTTTGTGCTGAATTTATAGTTGTCATAATGATGTAAACAACTTTACGCATGGTGCACCGAATGTTTAATGATTTTGTTGAAGATATCTTTTCTTATATTTACTGTTAATATGAAAAATTATATAAATTTTGAAATTATAAATTTAATTAAAAATGTTTGTTAAAACAGGTGGAAAGTTGGCTTCACTGGAGGAATTCAAGGTTCAAAAAGAAGATTTAATGGCAAAATTTGCAGCCATGGAAGTAGAACTTGAAAGACAACAAACAGGACATAATGACAAAATATACCAACTAGAAAGAAAACAAGTTGTTGATAAAGATAGGTTAGTATAAATTGATCACCTCTCCAAATCCCATAGGTAATCCATATACCAATTAAATATTTGGTATTTACAGTATGTATCTGTGCTAGTCTTGTTGTATAGGTAGGTTGACATCAACCTTTCTGTTAATCTGCCTATAATTACAGTTTTACCCGTCTCTACATTCATTTGTTTATGTTTATGTTTTGAAAATCTAAATTTCTCTTGTGAATACCTGCATATCAATTTCACAGTTTGTTTTACGTTTGATAATTATATATAACAAATTTGTGTCTTAATTCATTTAATTCTGCAATGACAAATTTTTTAAACAAATTTTTGACCTGATTGTCTTTTTTTTATTGATTTGTAATATATATCTTACTTGATTTGTTTATGTATTTTAATAAGAATTCCATTTTTGATATTCTTAGATTGTATATTTTTCTATAGAAAATGATTGTCTATTTTGTGTATTTTGATTATATCTTGAATAAAAAAACCCAGAATTATGTATGTGTTTTGTTGACAGGTTAAAACGTGAGATGGTTTTGCGAGTTAACCAAGTAGCCTCTGAATTTCGCAAAGTCTCAAACAAACAGATGGCTGATACAACAAAGCGAACAATCCGTGAAAATGTCAGCATCAATGCCCAGCTGGCGAAAATGTCTGATAAGACCATGGAACTGATACAAGAGAATGACGAGCTGAGAGCAAAAGAGAAAAAACAACGTCAACAAATTGATATGTTAGAAGCTAATGAGAAAGAATTGGCCAAGAAAAACCACAGTAATCAAAAGGTAGCAAAGTTCATAAAAGACAAAACATAATCATTTTACATTACAGTAAAACTCAGTTTTCACTGCTATGTTAGCCACTGTCTTTGCACGTATCCATGGACATTCTTTGGTCGAGTTTGTAAGCTAGAAAGCTGAATAAATTCACAACTAGTCAGGAAATCAGACACTTTGGGATCTTTCAAATCACATTTAAAACATATTTATTCACATCTTATTACTCACAATCCTATTCACTCTTCATTTATGGGTAGGCCATTCCATTAATTCTGTTTATTTCATTTCACTTTTCTTGAATCGCAGTTGTGGATAGTGTCATTTATAGCAGATATCGGCGCTCTACAAACACAATCATTATTATTATCATGATAGTACTAATTTCATTTAATATTCTAAAACATTCCCAAGGTTTGCTTTATTTTTTTGGAGGTATCTGGATGCAAAGGGAAAAGCAAAAGGACAGGAATCCATCATTATAGAACATGATACTGCACAATAGGTTCATAGGCAATTATCTGAGTCAACTATGTACAATAGTTGTCTCATGCACTGTCTTGTTGGTCTGTGTTTAACTTATATGATCATTAAAATTGTTGCTAATTCTTCTCCAGCTAGAGATATACATCTGATTAAATTTCCAACATCTTTGTTTTTTAAAACTATCCAGATAGTACTCATGCCCTTTATTTAATAGAATTTCCATGTTTTGCTTCACTTTTTGTAGGTTATCCGGATGCTAACAGAAAAAGCAAAAGGACAGGAATCTCTCATTATAGAACATGAGGAACAGGAAAAGGAGTACTTAGATTTGGAGACGGAGGCTCAGTTACTACGGAAACAGGCTGAGTCTTCTCGTGAGGAATTGCAGGCAATGGGCAAAGAGATGGAACATTTAGAGGAGGATCTAGAAATGACTAAAAAACAACATATTGAAACAAAGAAGAACAAAGAAAACATAGAGCGAATCCTGTCTGAAGCTGCTTATTCATTACATAGGATATTAATGGTGAGTTTTAATAGACTATTTAGAGGTGCATTGCTTGATGCGTTTTTTATAAATTCATTTTTAAAGAAAATAATATTAGTGAAACAATGTTAAAATTGAACTAACCAATAACAAAATCATATACAGTATATTTGTTTTCAATGTTTACAAAATAACCATTGTTATTTTTTGACACTGCACAATAGATTCATAGGCAGTTAAGTAAGAAGGTAAGACTAGGGTAATTCATTATCTTTTTTATGCTTTTAATTGAATTTTTTTGTCACAGTGTTGTCAAGTGTCATGTCATGTGAGTTTTAATGCAATGTTGAATCTGATTTTTTCAGAAATTTGAATTTATGAACTTTTTCAATACTATTTGTCACCACTACTATGTTGATCTGTGCATAATTTTGCAATATTTTAAATATACATTGGTTAATATTTCTGTAGAATTAAAAAAAAAAAGTTTTAATATTCACCTTTTTTTCTCTCTTGTTGAGCTTAATAAATTACATTATCATTGTTTTAAAATATAAATTTGTCTTTTTCCAATGTATGTGATGGCTTGCACAAGTCTTTAACAGCTATATTCAACGGCTGCTCACTTGCTAATGGCATTTTTTCAAGATATTTAATGATATATAAATCAAACATAATGGCGATATAGCTTGATGGTTAAGATTATTGCCTTCCACTCTCAAGGTGCAGGGTTCAATTCCTGTATTTTTTTTCATGATGACTAAAAAGCTCTCCACTTCCTAGTATGCCTCCTAATGACACATCATTTATTTCGGGCCCCTGAATATAAGCTGAACATTTGGGATTAGCGGGAAGGGTCACCGTCTATAAAAAATAAAAGTAAATATAAACTGCTGGGGAGGGGGGGGGGAAATGTGACAGAGATGCTGTTTTATTGCTGCAGTTCCTCATTTTTGTACTGCTTCTTTTAAATTAAATCAATCCCCTTGTTGAGGCAAAACTAATTAAATAAAGTATACAAAATTAAGTAAATTAAGTGTACAAAATCAGGTTGATTAAACATAGTTTTGAAGTAAACACTCACGTTGATGTTTCTTTGCGCGTCGATACCTGCTCACAACAAATTTTCATTATTGATTATTATTAAATACCGCAATTTATAAACTCAGAAATAGAAATGCTTACACACATACCTGGCCCAGCTGCTTGCTATATATTGGATGTCCACATACATGTACAGTACTACTCTATTTCACATTAAAAAACCTTCACAGTGTGTAAATAATTCTAATTCTGAAGAATTATTGGGTAGAATTGTAAACATAGTGTAACTGATAAAGTGCTGCTAACATAACTGGAGATCAAACAAAATTCATAATTAAACCACTTTGAGGAAGGCCCTGGCCAAAGTGCAGTTATATAGGGTGATGATGTGTGATTTGACAATAAAACCTAAGATAAAACTGTTTTGTAAATAAACCCCAATATATTAACACCTCTCTCAAATTTACGGGAAAATCAAAATATCAAATCATTCCGGTAATAAACATTTAGAATTATGAATATTAAATTTGCAGATGAAGGGGTCTGGAGATGATGTGTTAACTGAAGATGACTCGGAAGGTATCGAGCAACGTGACAGCATGCTGGAAAATCTCCTTATCATCCTGAATGAGGCAGCTGTTATTGGTGTAGGCCCATCTCCTGGGGAATTTATCAAGGAAGAGGCACCTACTTACAGGACAAAGAGCTGTGGATCATCATTCCCAGGTTCAAGGGCAGGATTAAAACAGAGGTAAGTTTTGATAAACTATAATGGCAGCAGTTACAACATATACTTTACTGTATTAAATCAACACAACCTATCTTTTAAAATTCCAAAAGATGGTGAAGCACAACTTTTGAAAAGGGATTGGGCAATGCTGGGGTAGTAAGGTATTGGCTGTGCAAAAACTGAAGCCTGTTTAGCCAAAAAATACCAGTAGACCTATTGTAAAACATACTGGAAACATACTCTTATTTTTATGCCATTTATCCCATAAGTTTAATAATGGTTTAATGAACTGTTTACCAGGTTGCTTGCATCACATGTTGAGATTTTGAGTGGCAGAAAATGCACCCTCCCAATATAGATTTGTTCGGGCGCAGCACGGCTGAGTAGAAATTCTATTTTTTTTACACTTTTGATGCCCACAATATTTTTTCAACCAAGGAGTACCATTCATCCCAAATTATCAAAATTTTGGTGTTATTGTTTCAATTTTTTGTCATTATTAATTAGGAATGTCTAAATTTGAATTTATTTGGGTATGTAAATATAATTCCAGACGTACACATTGATAACCATTGGAGTATTTGTTTGAAAATTGGGTCTACAAACATAAGGTCACTAGTCCAATAGTTAATTCAGATATTGTGATGCAGAAATGGTTTGGGAACTAAGGGACTTTTTATCAAACAAAAATGTTCTTATTGGATTTAGATAATCAGAGGCTTTGTACACCAACTATATGGGAAAGAAAAGCATAAATAACAGATGTATCAAGCTGAATAAATGGCCGCAATGTAAAAACAATATAGTAACAGCAAGTTTTTGCTTTGCATTTCTAGAATGAAAATAATATTTTTTTTTTGTACATTTTACAGATCATTCCCATTAACACCTGTAAGCAGAGCCATAAATTCTTTACCTCACTACAAGATTGGTGATCTGGGACTGGTACCGAGACCAAAGCCAAAATTCTATGGATCTGACAAAACGAGACAGCTTTCAGCTACCAGCCGACTCAACCGACTGCAGGGTGTTAAGAGCCGATCTGTTGGGGTGCAAGCTGCTGATGCAGACTCTAAGGTAGATTATTGCAGTTACGTTTTCTGATATTTTTTTGCATTTGAGCAGTATTATATAATTTAAATTCTTCCTGTGTAATGGATATAAAACCACAATATACAAGTCTATGTTTTTCCTGTTCATTTTATTTATAAGAGGAAGTTGAGAGAGATATGGCTGTTCTACAATGCATCACTCAGTTAATAAGTTTTTGTAAGAAATTCTGTGTTTCTTAAGGCCAACTGGGTATGCAAATCTCTTTTTTTTCAGGCAAAATTATTTTTTTATGAGCCCTAATACCATAAACTGTAAATTAAAAATTACATAGTTTAACCTAGATTTTACCAAAATGCTGGAAGAGCACTGCTGAAATACCAATAGTGAAAAAAGTGAACATACCAATCATGGTTTCCAAATGTGACTGTGGCTGAGCAACATTATTTTGATTAAGATGTTTTTTTTTTTTTTGTTGTTTTGCAGCTTGGATCAATATCATCTCAGTTCCCATTAGTTGCTAGTAAATCATCAAAATCTGCCATTTTTCATGAGATAGCAGTGACACGCCCTCCCCTTGGACCAATCATGACCAAAGGAAAGTTTGTGCGCTGAACCTATGCACCAGAAGTATTCCACCTTTATATATTTTTTAATCTATTGAACAAAGCCAGCACTACCCAGTGATGTACAGTATAATAATTCTACATATTTTAAAAACAATTATTAAATAATATATTTTAATAATTATGCCAAATTATGTTCTGAATATTCGTGGATATTACTTTGATCTTAAAATATATTTAGTGAGTCAATATTGTATGTATGATATATATGTAAATATTATGTATCCTGTTGTGTAGGATTGAGTAAATAAAATTTGAATACAATGTGCTAAATCATATGTATTTTAATCTTGTGTGTAAATAGCTAATTTTGTATTCCAAACTGCTGGAATATATAAAATATAAATAAAATTTGAAAAAAACATGACAGTTTTCCCACAAGACATGAAAGTCTCCCACTCTCCTCCGAGCAAGCAAGAATCTCGCGGAAAACAAAACCTATCTCATGCAAATTCATAATAATTATTTGCATGTTATTATGTACTATTTTATTTAAATTGTCTCACAGTGGCCAGTTCCGATGGGTATCACCATGTGTTAGCGGCGCATTTAACCAAATCACCCGGAAATAACTTCTTCTAAACTTGGGACTCCTGCAAAGAGGGATATTAAAGAGAGATAGGCACTCCAGCCTGTGAGCACCAGTTTCACTTTATTTCCTACCTAATTATTGACCTCAACTTAATCGGTAAAATGTTGGTGTTTGTGAAATAGAATACTGTACATTTTTAATGGCATTTTAGAACAAAATGAAGAACTAAGCAGGCATATTTGCCCAAAAATATAATGTAAATTTTTATTAAATAATATATTATGTCACACTGCACCGATATAAACAATTATATTATGGACGGAAGTCGTACGGTATAGTCATTAAAGAAAATATGTATTTAGTGATATATACAAGGTCTTTTCATTCATTCAGATAAAAATATATATTACAAATTACAGACAGACAGCCAGAAGGCTGTATATGTATTGCAATAATTGCTTAAATATTTAAAAACAGAACACCAAAATTCCAGAAATTCACAACACAAACATAAAAAAATCAAGATGTAAAAAGGCAAGAAACAATGGATAAAGACCAAGAGGAAGGAGGAGAATGATGATGTTAGACGACATTAAGGAAGGAATGAGTTACCACCAGATGAAGAGGGATGCTGAGACATCGGGAGTTCTGGAGAATGTCATGAGGAACCTGCATTTGGCAGAATGCTCATGATGATGAATATCATTTGCTAATTACACAGAACCAATATGTAAATTTATTATGGATCAGTCCGCTTAAAACTACTCATCTCAGGGCCGGCGGAACGTTTTTCAAAGTGGGGGGCCCACTTATAAGATAAATGGGAATATGAATCATGCAGATCTGGAATCAAACCTAGAGGGTGGGGGGTAAACATTTTTCCCAAAAACGAAAGGGGATGCGGGGGTCCTCCCCCTGGAAAATTTTGATTTCTAGATGGCGGGAAATGACCTTTCTTGACTTTTGAGCTAGATGTCTAATGACTTTGTTCTTCAAAATTCAAGGTTCCCCCCCCCCTCTTGAAAACAATCAGATAAACTTTCTCATTCTTATTACAGTAAATTGACCGGTTATGTGTGTATACATACATAAAAAAAAATTAGTAGTTGCATACGTATTCTTTTTTCAATGAATCGATAGGTTCCAAAGAAAAGGGGTTCGGGGTTCGGGGTTCTCCCCCGGGAAAATGTTGATTCCTAGATGGCGGGAAATGAGCTTTTCCGACTTCTGAGGTGTCTTAATTACTTTTAAGTTCTTCAAAATTCAAGGTTTTCCCCTCTTGAAAAGGGTCAGGTAATTTTTCCCATTGTTATTACAGGAAATAGGCTTTATGTGTGTATACATACATAAAAAAATGAGTAGTTGCGTACGTATTCTTTTTTAAATGAATCGATAAGCTCCAAAGGAAAAAGGGGGGTTCTCCCCCGGGAAAATTTTGATTCCTAGAAGGCGGGAAATGAGTTTTCCCGACTTCTGAGGTGTCTTTTATTTACTTTTAAGTTCTTTAAAATTCAAGGTATTCCCCTCTTGAAAATTATTATGATGAATAAATGAACCCAAAGAGAAAAGGGAGGTTCAGGTTCTCCCCGGGGAAATGTTGATTTCTAAATGGTGGGAAATGAGCTTTCCCGACTTCTGAAGTATCTTTTAGCGACTTTAATTTAGGTGCTTCAAAATTCAAGGTTTTCCCCTTTTGAAAACGGTCAGTTAATTTTCTATTCCATTGTTATTACAGCAGATAAGCCTTATGTGTGTATACATACATAAAAAAAAAATTGAGTAGTTGCATACGATTTTTTTCCCCATGAATCCATAAATCCCAAAAAGAAAGGGGGGGGGGGGGTTCCTCCCCCGGGAAAATTTTGATTCCTAGAAGGTGGGAAATGAGCTTTCCTGAATTCTGAGGTGTCTTTTAATTGTTCTTTTAAAAGTTCTTCAAAATTCAAGGTTTTCCCCTCTTGAAAATTATTATAATGAATCAATGAACCCAAAGAGAAAAGGGAGGTTCGGGTTCTTCCCGGGAAAATGTTGATTTAATGGTGGGAATGAGCTTTCCCGACATCTCAAGTAGCTAGGTTTTAGCTAGGTGTCTAATGACTTTGTTCTTCAAAACAAAGTCCTCTTTTCCCCCTCTTGAAAACGGTCAGGTAAACTTTCTCATTCTTATTACAGTAAATTGGCCGGTTATGTGTGTATACATACATAAAAAAAATTAGTAGTTGCATACGTATTCTTTTTTCAATGAATCGATAAGCTCCAAAGAAAAGGGGGGTCCTCCCCCGGTAAAATTTTGAAAATTCAAGGTTTTCCCCTCTTGAAGACGGTCAGGTAAATTTTTCTCATTTTTTATTTTATGTGTGTATACATACATAAATAAATAAATGAGTAGTTACATGCGTATTTTTTTTCCATGAATCGATAAATCCCAAAAAGAAAGGGTGGTCCGGAGATTCTCCCTTGGAAAAAGTTTTATTCCTAGATAAATAAGCTTTCCCGACATTTGAAGTGTGTTTTAATGACTTTTATGTTCTTCAAAATTCTAATTTCCTTATTGTAACATAAAAAAAAAAACCAAAAAAAAAACCAAAAAAAAAAAAAAAACAGTTCACGGGTCCTGAACAGGTAGGTCTAGAATTATTTTTCCCCCTTTTTTTTGTTGCCCAAGGGAATGGTCAGGACCCATGACCCCCTCCTCCAGATCCGCCAATGTGAATTGCGAGAAAATGTAACTCGGTCGGGGAGTGGATAAACATTCTCTTTCCCTTCCTTCTCCTCCTTCTCCTCCTTCCTTCTTTCTTCTCTTACATTTCTTTCCGATCATACAAAAATCTCCAGACATAATATATTTTTTGCCAAAAAGTTGGGGGGGGGGGGACGCCCCCCCGCCCCCGGTTCCGCCGAATATTCATTAACCATGTAGTAATAATTGTAAATCAAGTTTGTATAGGCCCCAAGTATAATTCTCACAACTCATATACCTGTACATGTGCAATTTTTCTTTTTTAATTCAATTCAATGAAATCAATATTTAACACGACTGTCATATCCAAGTACTGTATTTAGCAGAGAATAAGTATTATTTGTATTTTGAACCGTGGAAACCAATTATCATGATGCACTGACAATTTGACGTAATAAATATCTGAATCTGTAAATGGGGAGGTGTTTATTCCAAAAGCGAAGTTTATTCGAGTAAATACAGTAAAGAAATTCCAAGGAAAGTGATACATATTGCAAAATGTAGATTCAGATGGACAAGGTAAACTCCAGATTAACTCTTTGAGTCTCTTTAAGAGCAGTGTTAATATAATATTTAAAAAAAACCAGTATTTAATTTGCTCCTATCTTTCTCTTCATCAGCCCGTGCCTTGAGTGCCAGTATGTGGTGGAAAACCACTTTAAAATTATTAACTTTCTTATAATATATACCGTAAATCGCTATATGATTCTGATATTACATAATTATACATATTTAAAAAAAATTCTGGTAGGTTAATATTTCAGTTTCTATATATGTATGCATAATCCCATATAGGCCTACAGTAATCATGTTTTGTATAATAATAACCATTACGATTCTGGTTGAAGTTGAAGCTGACAAGGATAGTTCTATTGTACTATAAATCAGAAAGCTGTAATTCAACTTTTAAAAATAATAAAGGCATTTTTACTAATTGGCTAATTAATATACCCAGAATAATGATACCATTGTTAGTGATGTGACAACTGCTTCAATTTTCGGCTTAATATTAAGTCAAAACACAACTCAAAAATAAAATCACACATTGTTTGCAACAATGCTTTATGGAGAAATTAGAGGGTGCCATTCAAGTTTTTAAATGCTTTAAAAGCTTTCCTTCATTTAATTTATTAATAGGAACTAAGATTGTGAACATAATAAAATTGCTCAAGATATACCTACTGTGCCATAATTTACTTGAAATTGATGCATTACAAATATTTAAGTAAGCCTATTATTATAATAATTATTATGATTGTTGTGTTAAAGTCCTCAGCTAACAACTAGACCATGTTACTTGGTCTGCAAAATTTCTCTCAGAAGGCATTGCTGAAAACAATCAATAGTGACATCATTTTAAGATTATTAAACCAAAGTGTGCCACGGTTATTTAGCAAATTCCTATAAATTTTAGTTCATCTTTGAGTACTTTGTGCTATGACACGATTCAAAAAGAAGTACGGTATTGTACTGGTACTATACATTATACAAATGTGCAACACATTACTTGTATGGCTCTCTGTCTTCCTATTGTTCAAGAACACTCATCAATGCCTGCTTGTTTTCCCGAACCCAGGTGTCAAAACTCTTTTATACACATCTAGATGTGTATAAGAGACAGGCCTATATTGGTCAAGGTTGATCTAGAGAATGAAAAAAGTGTAAGAGATATAACATTGGATTATGAGATATATTTGAAATAAACATAACATTGGCCTTATAAAAAGGGAATCTTATTTTTCAAGCATTAATGATCAACTAATACCAACATTTATCACAATATGACAGTTGGATTTATTACATGACATAGTTTACCTCTTCAATAAACATTCATCATATGTTAATTTAATGGCCCTGATTCAATTTTGTGTCAATATTTTAATAGTACATCCCTCATTTATTTTACATTATAATTTTCATTACTTTATGTTTATGCCATATCTGTAATTTTATCACCTTATGCCATACACCTGAATTACAATGTTACCATACACTAGCATCATCACATTATTATGCTATCCACTTGCATCGTCATCACCTACACAATTGCATCATTTCATCACATTATGCTTAGCGTGCATCATCATCATCATTCCCTACCATATACGATTGCATTATCATTACATGCTACTCACGTGCACCATCATCACCTTATACCATACACGATCACCACATGCTATCCACGTGCACCATCATCACCTTATACCATACACGATCATCACATGCTATCCACGTGCACCATCATCACCTTATACCATACACGATCATCACATTATTCTATCCTTGCGTACACCACATTTACCATACAACATAATACTTTATATCACATACTGTAACTACATCATCACATTTCCAAACACCTAACTTTGACCTAGATCCGCTACAATATTATTTAATTGGGATAAATCAGAAGTTTAAATTTACAGTATATCATTTTCACTGATACAGGTCTCCCTCTAATTAAAGACCCCTCCAAAAATAAAGACCACTTTTCTGTGGTCCCAAATTCACAACAGTTTTTTTAAATCTTTATTATTCTAATTAGAGACCAAAGCTGCTAAAGACCATGGGAAACCTGGTCCCAAAACTATTCTTTAATTGGCGGGAGTCCTGTATTATCTCATCAAGTATAGCCCTACCTGTGCATCAATAAACTCGTAAGGTCTCAGATGCTTACTAAACGTTCGAGCTATCTCTACAATAGTTAACTTGTCACCAGAGAGTAGGAAGTTCCTGTTGAGTGTCTGCGCTCTGTTGTTTAAGATACTTCGGACAGCTTCACCTATCTGTGCCACACTTATTACATCCAGCGATATATTTCCCATTGGAATGGCTGAAATATAAGAAAAGGGATCAGCATTACAGAGTTGAGGCAAGCTAGCTAACTTCCATTTTTGGACTGTAAATACACCATAAATATAAATATGGTGTAATGAAAAATATTGTATGGTATTTTATTTGTAATTAGAGCCCATTACATTTGTAAAAACATATTTCCCATCATATAGTAAGTTAAGGGTTATGTTATGTTGGTCAAATGCAAAGTAAATAAAGTTGATTGTGGTGATTTTGGAGTTTAGAGCCATTTCCCAACGAAATGGAAGAAGCTGGACCTCAGCCATTTCTGAGATATTTGGTTGAAATGAGTTAAACTATTAAAAAAAAATAAACTTGCAAAAAGTCATAGCATGAATTAATCACAAGAAACCAACTCGTTCTAAACATTTAGTATTCCAGCATAAGTGTGGCTGGCCATCATCTGTTCTCAGACAGTAATTCTAAAAAAAAAAACTATTTTAAAATGATCCTGTTACGTCCTGAAGTGTTTTGGGATATTGTTTGAACCATTTACTGAAATGCTATCGGCCTAACATTCGTGAACATTGTGGTTGCTTATGTCAAAAAATAACATTATACACATACTCAGCAATGTTTGGTTGTTATTTAGTTGGAAATCACGTTATAAATACGTATTTATGGTTCTTCAAAAAAAGAGTTGAATACAAAACAGCAACATTACAACATATAAAACACATATTTATGAAGAACACCAGAGTAAGCCTACGTGCTAGTGGTTAAATTACCAAATTTAATCCCGAGATTATTTCTGAGCGAGTGAATGGGCCAAGATAGCATGAATCGGGTAGATAATAAACAGCAACAGAATGACAATTATTATTTTCGATTATACAACTGCATAGTTACCAACCTGAGAGATTTGAAATGCATGACTACACCAGTTCGGTGGGGGCGGGTGGCCACCGGGGTCGAGGCAAGCCCGGTGGGGGACCAGGGGCGAGGTCTCTTTGCGTTCGGACGATCTGAGCATTTTTTAGCTGTTTTAAAACGATTTCAGAGAGAGTTTGTTGACAATATCTTGTACATAAACAAAAATATTTTTAATAGAGCACATACAATTTGAGTTTTAAATACATTTTCCTCTTAATTCGTGATAATTCGTTACCACACATGGACTTGTACTAAATGCGTGACAAATTTATGATCACCCATGTGTTTCTGCAAAATACGTGTTTCATCCAAAATTACTGTGAAATGCATGACTGTCCAGCACGATGCGAGGCGGTTGGTAAACTATACAACTGTGTGTGTTCAGGTCTATGACCGCGCGTAATATAATTGCTATTTTAATATTTGTAATATTTAAAAGAATTAAATGCAATTCGCTTTTTTTTTTACACGGATAGAAGTTTTCTCCAACCAAAAGAAACTGACTGAAATCCTTGAAGATTAAACAAAAAAATGTTTTTAATTAACAAACTTACCTATACATTTATTATAACAGTAGGCCTAATTATATGATACTATACAATTATAACTTTTTGTAGCAAATCTGCGCTCATTGGACATGCAGTCACATTCTTGAAGAACATGAACGCACAACCACTAGGGTTTGAGAGCGTTCTCTTGGTCCAAAGATCTGGAATGACCTTTCACAATCTGTACGGTCTGTGGAATCACTTTTGAAACTCCGCCTTAAAACCTATTTATTTGAAACACTTTATGTAATTTTCTATTAATCTTGCTGGTTTTTCTCTTGGCTTATAACAGTGCCATGAGCACATTTGCGGTGATATATTATTGACAAAGTGACATCATTATTAATTAAAACTAATCATCAACGCATAGAAGTACTTACCAACTTTATACATATGTTCACCATATTTCTGTGGTTTCAACCATGTGAGAAAATTTTCATAGTAACAAGAAATCATGATGGTTGTTAATGGTAGTGCTCTCTCTTTCATGAATTCCTCAATGCGTGACTTAGCATCGTAATGTTTGACCTGCAATCCCATGCCATCAAAAGCATTCAGCTGTGAGCTGAAGACAACGTGTTGGACCTTCTTGACCATACAGATGTCGGCGACGTTCTCACCTTGACTGTATTCATATTCTTCACAGTCAGTTCGTTTGAATTGCGTGTCAGTGACAATGAAGCAAGCGTAAGCTCCGTCAAGTACATCAGCAAGACTTTGGCGGTCATCTAGGTCAGCCTGTGCTATCTCAATACCCTTTGCAGCCAGAGCCTTTGCTTTGTCACTGTTAACATTTCTGGTCACTGCACGAACCTTTAGTTATTAAAAAAGTATATTTTTTTAAACAAATGTGGATATCATTATTTATCGATAACAACATAAAATAAAATGCCAGTATTAGAAAATGCAGTACAATGTACAATAGAAAAGGGGGGAAATTGCTCGCGGGTATAGGTTATAAGGCTCTTCATTTATTTATTTAATTTAATTAATTACAGTTATGCAGCAAAGCATCGTCTCTTTTCCCAGTGTGTTATGTATAAAATGTAGGTAGTAGTACCGTAACTCGTGCAGTTTACAATGATTACCTGGATTCATACCAGTTTGACGATTACTGTATCACAGACTTCACAATCACAGTTTGGTGCCAACTCCATTTTTGCCATAATCTACAGTCACTTTTGATCAATATTTGGTTGTATCCAAACATTTAATAACAACATTAAATATTCAAATGAAATCTGAATTTAAGAACGTTTTAGTCAAGCCTCATATGATGCATAACTGCGCAATCTAGGATTGTCGAAACCCAGTTTGCCGAATGCCAGATTACCGAGTCAATTTTGTTATGATTTCACTTGACTGGATTCGACAAACTGGGTTTCGGCAAAGTGGTCATGGACTCAGTATGCAAACCTGATCAGAGATCAAATGAGTACATTTCCAACTTCATGAACTAAAGGAAAAAAAGCTCTCCCCAGAACCTTACCAGGAATTTGTATTCCAAGACCCTGGTCGAGGCTCTTGTCGGCACCTTGGTTCGGATTTCGCTGTCGGACATGTCGGACCCCTCGTCAAATTCCTGAAGCCAACACCTGTCTCTTATACACATCTAGATGTGTATAAGAGACAGGGGGCGTGCTCCCGCACCCCTAGATATGCCACTGTCCTCTTATCTTGGAGAAGACTCTATTTGCGGTCATCATTAAGCAAAGTCTTATCAATCTTATTCTGAGAAATTGGGGCCCTGTTTTCGACAATCCTAAATCCACCCCTGCCTACCTTGTAGCTAGGGTCTTGATGTAATATTTCAGCCACTGAGCCTCCCTGCATTCCTGTTGCTCCAAATACTACCACAATTTGTGCCATGCTAATATAAAATATTGATTAACTTGAATAAATGGAAGAAAATTTAACTATTTTTTATAGTTGTATGGTAAAAGTAACAACTCACGCTTTCAACCCTCTCTTTTTCAAGAACAGTTATATCTTCTTCAACTGTATGTTCCATTACAGCTTGACGTTAAGATTCGACATTTTGTTATAGATGGGCACTCCCAGTCCAACAAATTTGTTAGGAAGAAAGTACCTATTTATAACAAAATTGTTAAAAGGTTATATTACACCACCCACCAAAGCTGATTTTTTGCTTTGCACGGTTAAGCTGCAAATGTTCTTTATAAAACAGCCAATCACCATTGGTTTTCTTTTTGCACAACACCCTAAAGCTCAATCGTAAAGCTAAACATAATTTACCGAAACAAAAAAAATAGGTCTACTTGTCAATCAACAGCATTATTATACAATTTGAAAAAAAAAAAACCACATAAAATAAATGACTCTTCATTAATAACCATGTCATAGATGTGTTTGAATGATTGTACATTGGTGCTAATTGTAAGAGATGAAGGGGGACCTAAAACTTTTGGTTAATAATTTACATAAAAATTATCAATTCGCAAAACAGATGCAGTCTTAAACCGATTAATTCAAGAGTACTTTAATATACGCCTACTGTCCATGTCCATACAAAATTAGCCTGGACAAATATTGCTTCAGAAAAAGAAGCTACCACCGCCCTCACCACTACCTCGTCTGCTGCAACTATCCCTACATCACCACCACCACCACCACCCCTGTCACACTACCAATTTACCACAACTAACCTAATACCAAGTTACTGTATACCATGAAATCTGCCACCATCACTCACAATTAATTATTATCCTACCGGCTGGATATCAGCTGAAATTAAACACGTTTTGCACATCGAAAGAACATTAAGAGAGAAGAACGTACCACATGCCGATACGAAAAGGGTGTAGATATTAAAATAGACCACCAACCACCATTAGTAGAAGAACATATAAAACTCGTGTAACAAAATCTTACCCGGAAAACATCAGTTCTAAAAATGCTTGCAGAAATCAGCAAGAAAAATATTTTCTTTCCGACTGAATGATTTTTTAAAGTTGTATTTTACACACCCACATTGCTTTGTTTACTTAATGCATCATTACGCACCATGATCGTCGGCCGGGTGCACTGGTGTGTAGGCCTAAATAGGCCTAACAATGAGTCTCTTGATTCGGATCAGAAAATATTCATTGTGTTCAACCATAGAGAAAATAGAACTGTTCTATTTTCTCTATGGTTCAACAATGTACACAAAGTGGAAATAAATTTGTCCCAGATACAAACGTAAATTAAGTAATATACACAGTGGTGGCGCCAGCCGGGGATGTGTATAAGAGAACAGGCCTGGACCACGGCGTCGCCCCGACGCCACGATGAGGTCATCGGAAAAGAATATTAACTTGCCTATCCAAAACGTTATTTTGATTGCCAATCCCATTGTGGACTAAAAGCACAATTGGGCCATACTATTTTTTAAACTAAAGGAAAAAAAGCTCTCCCCAGAACCTTACCAGGAATTTGTATTCCAAGACCCTGGTCGAGGCTCTTGTCGGCACCTTGGTTCGGATTTCGCTGTCGGACATGTCGGACCCCTCGTCAAATTCCTGAAGCCAACACTGAATATACAGGACTAATACATAACTAGCTAGAGCGGACAAAGTTTCGCGAATTTTCCGTGACCTGGACCTTTGTCATGACTCACAGTTGGACCGCTAAATTGATGGTCAATTCATTCAGTTGGTTTTTAGCGAGTGTAATATCTGTCTGAAACCTGTAAAATTTTAATCATTTACTTTCGTAAACTTTTTGTCATTGATTTTTTATTGTATATTTGCCTGTGTAAAGTCGAATAAATAAATAAATAAACTAATCGCCTGTGCTTTTGCATTATAAATCTAGGACTCTTAAGCTTTTTTTTTTCAATTTGTCCAAGATTATTAATTGATGCTGCAGTTCTAGAGAGTCCAACTTCTTTTCTCCGAAAGGTTCATCTTCATTTTGATTGATTGTTTTGTGCTTTTTCTCTTTTCAAATTTTTATATTTGTATCTGTGATCCGGGGATGAGCCCACCAGCACTGCTACAGTGATTCAGTTCACTTGGTTGGCCCTCCTCATCTTGTGTTTTGGACCCAATTAATAATGAAATGAAATAATAGGTTTTAAAAAGCAGACATTTTGAAATTGGGAGTCCATACCTTCTGCACCCCCTGCCAACGGGCCTGGTGAAATACAAATAATAACAGGAACATGAAATGTTTCAATCGTATGAAACATAGCCCTTCAACGAAAGTTCATAAATGTTTAAATGTTAACAAAGTTAGATGTTGACAAAGACTACAGTACAGTAGTCGAAATATTCGTTACATTGTAGTGTTTCTAAAGTTAACATTTTACGTACGTATTCAGAACTGTACACAGTATTATATTATAATCATATCTTTCGAAACACACCTGGACTTACATTGGTTGTGGCATGGCCCCTGCACCTTACCTACGGGCCTGGGTATCAAAGAAAAATGTTAATATTTTCTGTGGATGCCACTTATTGGGTTTAATCAACATACTGTACAAATGTACACTGTAGGCCCTAACCACGAAAAGCAATTTTCAAGATGTTGTATATCATAACATGCAATTTGCGTTAATGTCTTAGGAATATGTAATTTGAAATGTAAGATGATGATGACGACAAAATAATTGAACTTTCGGTGCACCATGTGTAAAAACATGTTTTTTTTTTTTTTTAAAGTAAACCATTAGTTGACTGTATGTATAACTATTAAATTAATGATAATCATGCATGCCTAGTAACTGTTCTGATTTGAAATACTGAATAACTCTATATCTAATTAACAGAGAGAACCTTGTTTATATTATGTCATTGATTTTTTATTGTATATTTGCCTGTGTAAAGTCGAATAAATAAATAAATTAACTAATCGCCTGTGCTTTTGCATTATAAATCTAGGACTCTTAAGCTTTTTTTTTTCAATTTGTCCAAGATTATTAATTGATGCTGCAGTTCTAGAGAGTCCAACTTCTTTTCTCCGAAAGGTTCATCTTCATTTTGATTGATTGTTTTGTGCTTTTTCTCTTTTCAAATTTTTATATTTGTATCTGTGATCCGGGGATGAGCCCACCAGCACTGCTACAGTGATTCAGTTCACTTGGTTGGCCCTCCTCATCTTGTGTTTTGGACCCAATTAATAATGAAATGAAATAATAGGTTTTAAAAAGCAGACATTTTGAAATTGGGAGTCCATACCTTCTGCACCCCCTGCCAACGGGCCTGGTGAAATACAAATAATAACAGGAACATGAAATGTTTCAATCGTATGAAACATAGCCCTTCAACGAAAGTTCATAAATGTTTAAATGTTAACAAAGTTAAATGTTGACAAAGACTACAGTACAGTAGTCGAAATATTCGTTACATTGTAGTGTTTCTAAAGTTAACATTTTACGTACGTATTCAGAACTGTACACAGTATTATATTATAATCATATCTTTCGAAACACACCTGGACTTACATTGGTTGTGGCATGGCCCCTGCACCTTACCTACGGGCCTGGGTATCACAGAAAAATGTTAATATTTTCTGTGGATGCCACTTATTGGGTTTAATCAACATACTGTACAAATGTACACTGTACTTTTTGTTAAAAAATAATAGTAGGCCCTAAGCACGAAAAGCAATTTTCAAGATGTTGTATATCATAACATGCAAAATTTGAAATGTAAGATGATGATGACAAAATAATTGAATTTTCGGTGCACCATGTGTAAAAACATGTTTTTTTTTTTTTTTTTTAAGTAAACCATTAGTTGACTGTATGTATAACTATTAAATTAATGATAATCATGCATGCCTAGTAACTGTTCTGATTTGAAATACTGAATAACTCTATATCTAATTAACAGAGAGAACCTTTTTTATACATTATATTTGCATAGACCCTTAAATATTAATAAGCATTTTTTGTTGTAAAATCTTTACAAATCGAAAAAATAAAAGTTTGGTTATTGTACAAATAGGCCTAATGAATGTTTAAGAGTGCAATGGGATGGACAGGTTCATGAGTTAAAAGAGTGACTGTTAAATTCAACAAGGAGGAGTCAATCTTTCAACTCATGAAAATATTCATTTCATTGCACGAATAAAGCATTCATCACTTGTTTTATAACACACATACAATAGATCCTTGTCAGACATTTTATGAAAAAATAGTGAGTTAAGTCTACCTTTTTTCTAAATGGAACAGTCCTAACAAAACCAAAAAACAAACAAAACGCACGGATGGAACTAAATTTCTACGAGTGACGAAATGGTGTAAATAACCAGTCACGTGATACGAAATCCATCAATTAAATGACAACGATCTATTAAGGTGTGTTATAAAGGTTATTTTTGCCTTTTAAATTAATTTTTAATTGAATTTTTAAGGTTTTTATCGATTTTTTTTGGCAGACAGTACATGTTTTTTTTTCATTCGTTTAGTTTAGTTAGTTCACAGTTTTTACTGTACTTAATTTGTTTTATTTGTTATATTTGTATGTTTGACTGCCCACAGTTTGTGAGTGCTGCAGTTTCAAGTGTGTCGCAAATGAATAAATAAATAAACTGGTGTAATTTTTTGCACTGTCGCATACATTATCCATACTGTAGAATGTTATGATTTAGGAAAATCAGGATGCAATGACATAAAACATGAATTAAAATGAACATTTCAAATATAATTGACATTCAACTTTATTATATACTTGATAATTGCTTTTTTGAAACTATAATAAACAATCAAACTAGTTTTCCAATAGTATATTAAATGACTCATTTGATTGGTTTACAGAAAAATTTATAAATTTAATTTTTTCTAAATGTAAATTTACCCGATGTTCTCTTCATCATTATAATGTAAACAAAAATAATTTTAATAATGTGAAAAGAAGTTTTATTCCCTTTGAAACATTTAGGCAGGTTTTGCTTTGCTTTTCTAGTTAAAAAAATGTGGCATATTTTTGTTAACATGTTACCCTCCTATCTAACTACGTGGGATTTACAGTTTATATGAAACACTGACAACACTATGTGAATATCTGTTTACTTCTATACATTCTGAAAAGAAGTAAAGTATGTAGTGCGTATAATTAAAAATTGACACCAGCACATTTTTATAATAAAGTAGTATCATTCAGTGAACAATGCATTGCAAAAACCTCATTATTAAAAAAACATGCACAAATGATAGAAATGAGACAATAATATAATTGTTATCAAAATAATTTTGTTTTGAAATCTATTTTTAAAAAGTGACATTTAACATTCTAAAAAATGATATTGCCTTAGTATTTCTCTAAGAATTAAGTTTAATAACATTTTTTTACAAGTACTTTCATTCATGAATTTTAGCCGAGTATATCACAACTACATTTGATATAAATATTAATAGTTTTACTGTACTTGTGAAAATCAACTTCTATTTCAAAACATCTTAAAACATCTTGAATGTTTACTGACATTTAAGATAATTCCAAACATACAAAAATGGCGAACTATAAATATTTTGGAATAATTGCATATGTATTATTTACAAGGTGTTGTTTCTAAATGGACTTCTGAAAAGTTAATCAAGGTTTGTATATCTAATGTTTTTTTTTTAAATTATTATTTTATCAAAAATCCTGTATATCTATATACAATTTGGTTCAATTTTCTTCGAGACACCTTCTCAAATTTTGCGCAGACTGAACCAAGAGTACAAAAAAGGAACCATAGTCAAAGTTCATATTTCCAAAATATATAATACTGTACATATATTGGAACAACAAAAACAGCATGTCTTTAGTACTTGATGCAGTTAAATTAAAAAAAAACAAAAAACCTGCCAAGGATGAATTGTGTACTGATACAACTGTCCACACAACACACTGCAGCTTAAACTATGTCTTGTCACATATCCACCTATTTTTTTTTAATTTCCATATTTCAATATACAGTATCTTATCAAATATTCACTTATACTTTCAAGGATGTTTCTTGTGCACAAACTTGTTATATTTGAACATTTTAGAATTTAGCTCTTAAAATAAAAATTGTATTATTGAAGGCAGATGTCTGCTGGATGTGATGACTGTGCGCGTGACCTTATTTGGTTTTCGATCTGACGCGAGCCATCACCGCATCTGGTGGATGACGGCCTCTTGCGGCCGACATTGTCTCCACATTTGTTGTTTCGTTTAGTTGATGTCGGCCTCTTTGCATTCTTATATATTTATTTATTTTTATAATATATTTGTACCATAATATTTCATATCTAATTTAATATCTTTTATGTACACTCTATCATTATGTTTGATGAATGTCTATAAGAAAAAGTTGAAAGCTGAAAATATAAATAACTAAAGTTCTATACCAGTATACAATACATACAGTCTTTATAAATTCATTAACTGTTTTTGGTTGAGTCACAAATTGCCACAAGGTGTTTCTACATTGCAAACATTTGCCATTACAAATAAAGATATCAAGCAATATGGTGCAACATTGAAGGCATATACGTACAATCAACAATTCATTTAGAAAGGGGAAAAATACAAAAATACATGATGTAAATTCGAGATAAAATTATTTACAAAACCTAAAATTTACATATTGTATTTACAGTAAAGACCATGCAGGTGTAACGTATTAGATCCGAGGCTAAACACTGGAAGACGGAACGTAATGGATTGTATTCAGTGACAATAAACATAAAATATGAAGAATTATATTCATCTCATACTTTAACATATATAGTAGTCGAAATGGTTGTGTATTCTTCGACATCTATCCATTCAGTTTGAGATAAACATCATTTTCTGATATCAAAGATTTGAACATGCCAATGGGCCAGCACTGATCAGTTATAGTCTTGATTACTGCAGCTATAATTGAATTTAACCTGTTTTAAGGAACAAAATCAAGGTTTTACTTTGTAATGTTTGGCATAGGCATACTAGCTCTGTATATCTTTGGTTGTATCGGGCCCCCATAGGCCTTGGAATGGTTCGAAGGTTTTATCGTTGTTGATTCAAATAAGGCGTTCTTCCGGTGGCAATTTTAATATGTTGTCCATCTCAACTCGTGACCCAGTGATCTCCTGTCGACTTGGGCTGTAGGTTCCTTGAGAGCGACGTTTACTTTTGACTGACAGGAGGAAGATGACTAAGATTATCAGGAGGATGAATACTGCTACTCCTCCAAGAACTGCTCCAATAATGATCCATTTATCATCACCTTGTTTGACAGCCTACAGAAAAAGGCAACTCAATTGGTCAACTATTTCTTTACTAACCATGTGACAAATCATGCATCATTCAAATACTGCAACAGAAGATAATTCTTCAAAAGCACAAAATAATACACTTCAAGTTAAAAAAACCATATTTGTTTAGAATCATTATTTTCCTTGAATTTGTAACATAAACATATTAATAGTACAATACATTATTTTCCCAAATGTTATTTGAAATATCTAGGTGTATAAAATTTGTTAGATTCAACTTTAAATATTGTTGAAGAAAATAAGCAAACAATAGAAATCTTTATTGTTTATTCAATGTTTCTTTAAATATTGGTTGAGACTTACATCTGAACAGGTTGAGCCTTCATACTTTGAATTGCATTTGCAGTAGTACTTAAGTTGGGAGTTCTCATCCACGTGACATGTGCCTCCATTTTCACATGGAGACATCAAGCAAGGATTTTCAAAAGAACAGTTTTTGCCAGCAAACTCTTCAGGACATGAACAATTGTAACTGCCTGGGGTGTTAGTACAACTGCTGTTATTCTCGCATGGGGGCATTGGTACACACTCATTGATGTCATTCTCGCAGAGGCTGCCTTGCCAACCTGTGCCAGAATTTTGTAAAATAATTATTAACAAAAAAACCCACATGATTAAGGGTAACCTAAGGTTATTTTTTAATTTGCCACTAAGAAACAACTATTGTTATCTGAATAATCTGGTTCTATTTCTGGCTGTTTACTTTATATGTTTACATTTTAAGCTGTTGCTTATCACCTTTGTATCTCTACCAAGATCAAGCCATTTTTCCTCGCAGTACTGTTATTTCTTAAGCCACGTTCACATGTCTACATCGATCGCGAGCGGTTGAGATGCTGGGTCGTGAGCGAGATTGTGTTAGATAAAAAAAAAATGGCCAAACTGTGTTCGTTACACCGCTTTCGAGGCGAACGGAAATAGATTTACGTCACATCCCAATTGGTTGTCGACATGCTAGGCCTGCGATTTCTGATCCTAGGCCTGGGTGGAGGTGGCATCGACGATCCTGCAACGGTCCCCGTCTGACATTTTTGGGCGATCGCCGATGTTCCCAATTCTGTGGTAAACCGGCAAGTTTAACGCATTTCTGTAACTTATATTGCATTTTCTCGTTTTATTTCGGAAAGCCACTGAAAATAAATAAATCTATTTATCATATATTGTATGTTCGCCTTTATTTTCGAATCATAAGTTATAAAAATTTGCATTTTAAAATCTTCCAAGCGTAGGCCTAGGCGTCGGTACACCGCCGTACACGTACGTCATTAAATCATGTTTGTAGACGAAATGTACGATATGATATCCACGAGTAATATTACTTTTAAACTTATTATGTGATTTATTGTTGTCATATTAAAAGTGATTTTCAAGTTTGTATAAATGGTAAATACCACGCCATTCTTAACTCTATTCCAGCCAGGAAAACGTGAAGTCACACATTTTCTCCCTTACTTTGACCCCGGAGAGATGCTTGTATCTGATTGGCTTTCACACAAGAGGTCCCAGCTCGCTGGTGACCCGCTTGCAAGCGGCTGTTCACATGGATCGAGAGCGAGCTGCATCGAGAGCCGCTCGTGGGTGACCCACGACAAAAACCGCTCTTGAGTGGTTGTTCACACGAAGGCCCGAATCGCGAGCCGATCGTTCGCTTGCGAGCGACCTAAGACATGTGAACGCGGTATCAGTATGCCTTGTATGCCTGTCTTGTCATCAAATGCTTATAATGCATCAAGGAGTAGTGCTGTCCATCTGTGCATGAGTGTGAAGCAATAGTTGCTTAAATATCATATTAAGTATTATACACAGATAGTGTAATTTTTGTTGGGAATGGATCCTGAAAATGTACACTATCAAGGCAAGTTAATATTTATGCACACAACAATATGTAGCAAATCTAAAATTGTTTTTCAAATACTATGTGAATCACTGATTTTACATTGATGAAATAAAACACAACATTCATAGAAATAATAATAATAATAATACATACATACATACAAACACAACATAGAAACATACAAATCAAACATACCTTTCGAACATGAACAATTGTAACCATTAACATTGTCAATACATATGGCCTTATTCATACATGGACTACTTTGACATTCATTGATGTCCTCTTCGCACTGGTTGCCAGTATAGCCTGCAGCACACACACATGAGAAGCCATTGGTTTCCTCTGAGCACGTGCCGTTGTTCTTGCATGATGTTGAGAGACAGGATAGTTTAGTGTCACACTTATCACCTGTTGCCCCAAAGAAAGAAACAATTTTAAAAATACAAACAATTATTATTGCTGTTTCTTTAGTTGTTGCTGCAGGTGTTTTTTGTTGATGTCAATATAGTTATCAGATATTGTTGTCAATGTTGTAGTTGTTGTTTGTTGTTACTGTTGATGTAGTTATTAGATTTTGTTGTCAATGCTGCAGTTATTGTTTTGGTTGTTGCTGTAGTATTTTGTTGCTGTTGATGTAGTTATTAGATATTGTTGTCAATTGCTGCAGTTTTAATGTTGCTGTTGATGTAGTTGTTGGATATTGTTGTCAATGTTGCTGTTGTTTGATGTTGCTGTTGATGTATTTATTGGATATCGTTGTCAATGTTGCAGGTGTGGTTTTGGTTGTTTTTCTTTTGCTTTGATTTAGTTGTTGGATATTGTTGTCTATGTTGCAGGTGTTGTTTTGGTTGTTTTTCTTTTGCTGTTGATGTAGTTGTTGGATATTGTTGTCTATGTTGCTGTTGTTCTAATTAGTAAAGCTGTGCTGTGTTCCTACTACACTAAATCATTCTATTAAACCTACGAAAACTTAATATTAGACCTGAACAACAAAATAAAACACATTATGCATAACATAAATCTATTATTATGTAATCAGTTATTAATATACTTATTAAAATTTAAATTAGTATCCTTATTGTTGTTATGAACAACAAAATAAAACACATTAACATTATGCCTAATATAAATCATCATTTATAATTATTTGATCAGTTTTTAATATACTTACTGTATTAAAATTTAAATTTGTATCCTTATTGTTGGCTTTCCTTACCAGCCACTGTTATTATAAATATCATCAATAATTATAAGCTTTACAGTTAATTCTTATTATTACTATTGCTATTATCAATAACTATCTTTAATATTTAAATTTGTATTCCAGCTGTTGGCTTACCTTTCCAGCCATCAACACAGGCGCAATTTGGGCCAGGAGGGCTGCTTGAGCAGGTGGCACCATTTTGGCAGGGGTTAGCTTCACACCAATCAATTTCCTTCTCACAGTTGTTACCTTCGTAACCAGTGACACAGTCACAGGTGTAATCCACAGGCTTATCTCCAGTGGGCTGAGAACAACTCCCACCATTTTGGCAGGGGGAATTGACACATGGTCCCTCCCAGTCACACAACTCACCTGTAAACACCAGTAAATAAGAATTTTACACATTAATGTGAATTTGAGCTGTACTTAGAATATTTGTTGGTTGGTAATAAATACTAATTGGGGTTGTGAACAAAGCTCTGTTCAAAACACCAAGATTTATAAGACTATTTGTGTGATTTGCCCAAATATGGACATGATGATGTTATATCATACCCATATATAAGTTTAGAAAGGTATAGCTTATGAGTTAAGTCTGCATTCTCTTTAATACAGATACAAACAATTGCATTTTATTTCAGATTATGAAGAATTTTAAATACATTCTCTATCTAAATGCATTATTTACAACATAATATATCTAATGCTATGTTAACATAAGAATAAAATTATAACAAGATATACTGTATACACAATAAATATAATGTTGTTTTCATATGCATACATGTAAAATTAAATGTAGTGTGATATATTGTAGCTTTACTATACAATGTTTGTGATATGTATGATGCTGCTGCAAGATTTATGGAATGTTGTGGAAGGCTAGCTGTGTGTCTTTTCTGGGTTCTGTTCATGTGTATATATAATTATGCGTGGAGGAAATATAATGTATGTGTGAAATACTGTATTAGTGTAAAATCTTTCAAAACTAAACATGCTAAAACTTCATGCTATCAATCTTAATACAATGATAGACTCTAGATAACAAGTGTCACAACGGCAATAAATTAATTTCAATACAATATAATTATGCCGACAAATCTCAATGCAGAGTTGGAAAATTGAAATATTAAAAAATAAGTTTACTAAAAGAAGGTATAGAATGGTTTAATTTGAATGCAATATAATATAAAAAATTAAAAATTAAGATTGGCCAATAAAAATGGTTTTTATAATGATTGAGCAAACATATGAGCCAGTATGTATTTTTATATACTAGAGTATAAGAGGACTGTGTTGAGGTGTAACTTATAAAATGTCAAACACTGTCATGGGTCCCAGAGTGTCCTATGAGTTAGGACAACACTCCCACGAGCAAGCAAGAATCTCATGGAAAATAACCAATCTCCTGCAAATTCATAAGATTTGCATGTTTTTTTATCAATCTCCAAGAAATCTGTGTTGATGGGCATTGCCTATTTAACCAGATCTCCCGAAAGTGGCTTCTTCCAATTTGGGACCCTTGCATTGTGCGTTTTGGATAAATACAATTGTAAAACTGAATATACTGTACTTTGTTGTAACATATACTGTATTAAAAAATCCATGCTGCCTTTATTCAGTAATGTTAATAAATTACACTACAAATATAATATATACAAATATAACAAAAAGAAAATAATTTATATAATATATGACTGGCACTGAAAAGAGGATCTTCAATTTGTTATTAATGACCATTGGTAAAACATCATGCATCTGAGGTAGGGTTAAACATAATAGCAATGTAAGGGAAAGGGATAAAGCAATGAATCAGGGTGATCACCTAGTGAAAGTGAATTGCTCATCTTTATTGGGATTAGCTTGATAGTAATGAACAGCTGGTCATGGCTTTCCTCCATGGTCAGATGATGTGGATAGTTAATCTGTGATTAACTCAATAAGCTATGATGAGTCGATGCAAGCTGATGGAAGTGAACTACTTATTTGTTGGGATTAAATGAATTAGCTCATGATAGTGAAATATTTGCTTTGTTATTCTAATCCTAATGCTAATTGTTAATTATCCGAAATACATTAGATTAAGATATGGATAGGCAGATTTAAAAAAAAAAGGAATTTAGAGAATTTTAAGATGATCAAGTAAGATGCCTCTATTCATTAATTCATTCATTTATTACATCTGAGAAATCCAATAAACAGTAAACAGTGATTACATTTAACATTTGTGTTTTTTTATCTTCTTATCAAACAGTTAAAAACTTGTACGACAAAACTCTCTCTACAGAACTAGAGTATGTAATGGCTGAGAAAATTATACTGGGTTTTTCTTTTTCTTCGCCCATAAAATGGGAAGCTAGGTATCATATCTGTATCTGCTTAAGACAATGGTGGTGGTAGCATGATATTTTCAATGAAATATGTTGACTGTAGCCTGAACAAGTAGAAATAATGAAATAAGGGAAATAAAAAAAAAAACATTAAGACATTATTCTGTCTGTTCCAATGAGAGCATTTGGCATGTCATTGGTAATTACTGCTGCAACCAACCAACCAATCAATTATGCAATCAGTATCAATATTATATATAGAGAAAGCCAAATATCAACAGCAGAATACAGTGGTACAACAATTTTTAGATGTTTTTAAAGTTTCTCAAAACCTATTTAGGAACCCACTCACAATGAATTCAGTTCTAGAGTATAAAAGTGTCCCTTTCAGAAAAAAGTGCAATGATATTAAATGAAAATAACATGGCGATTAGCGTTAAGTAATACGTTAGAAAGATAACAATAGAAAAATTATGTCATGAATTAGGCCTCTTTTATAAATTAGTTATCTGTACACTAAAATTATATTCACTTTTAGCTTATAAATTGGCAATGTAAATATCAGAACATGATTTCAACTAGACAACCTGACATCCATTTACCACGTGTACAATCATCACAACTATAAGGCTCACAACATGCAAAGAGTTAGAATGAAATAAGGCTGCCACTGGTAAGTGTGAGTCAGTAAAAAGGCAGGACATTGTGGGTATTACAGAACCACAGTAACAGTCGTCCTGATTGGTTAACAACATAACAGTATGGTCATCGGTTATCGTGCAGCTGATTTACATCCTGTTAGCAGTTGTGCATTACGTGAACGCAAGCATCAAACGAGTCAACAGACAGATACAACACAGTGGTGAAAAGTCTACGAGTGACTACCTGAATAGAACTGACTGCAATTGCAGGACCAAGTGGCGGTTGTGAAATCCAAGTTGCAGTTCCCATCATTCTGACATACCACATTTTCACAGGTCACTTCCCCACAGTAGATGCCACGGTAACCCATGGGACATGTGCAGTTGAAGTTATCAGCAGTCACAGCTGAGCAGTTACCCTTGTTTGCACAGGGACTGTTCTCACAGGGGTTGATTTCACAGTGCCTCCCAAAGAACCCACTCAGGCAATTACATGTATAACTCCCTTCAATATTATCACAATGACCGCCATTTTGGCATGGCTGAAATTCGCTACATTCATTTATATCTTGGTTGCAAGTATCACCTACATGGAAGACAGCAGAGCAGTGGTAAACAAAGAACCAATTTTCATCGGAGATTAAAGTTTACGTTCAAGATTGTAGTTTTTTTTTTTTTAAAGGTTAGTGTTCAATAAAAATTCACCATGTTTAGGAATCAAAAACAAATCATTAACATGGAATATTTTTCAAAACAATGTTACCGAATTATCAAAGAGACGTTAGCTAAAATATCACCATTACAATTTACTGCAAACAATCAACGCTTATATTCTAAAATTAATCACATCAAATGCTATCTTTACGAAATATTGATTTTTTTTTCATTCATTATCATGGGATTCCAAACAAGTTAATAATATATAAATAAGACTACAGAAATTTAGATTTAGTTATGATTTCACATGTACAGTGTAAGTAAACGAATACCTAGCAAATAAATAGAAGTAGTTGGCACTAGTTCACTTTTATCTGGGGAGATGGAGAAGTAAATACAAAAAGCCTGTGCAGATAATTTATCATAAAATATTGCCTATCATTAAAATCCATCCTAATATTTTCTGAAAGCTTAAGTTGTTTACAATATGTTTACAGTTTATTAAACAAGACCCATGCCTATCAGATCATTAAAATCCATCCCAATATTTTCTAAAAGAGTTGTATATAGCTTTACAATTTATTAAACCACACCCTTGCAAGGTCCAAGGTTCCTTTAAAGACAACATATTTTCAGGTTACAGGTAGTAGAAATCTTATTTGCAGTACATACAACTCAGTGGTGTTTGGTTTTGTGGCATTAGTGTGTGCAAAATACATGCATTTAATGAAACCTTCAAAAGTATACATTTTTTATAATAGAGTACACATTTTTCTTTTTGTATTTCTGTTGGTAATTTTTTGAAATTATCAAATCACCTACAATTACTTGAATCTGAGGACCTTCTTTTACAATATTCTGACTGTTCTCATTGGTTGGATTTTTGGTATAAATATTTGTAAATACGGAATATATTCCTGATGCTTATTTAATTAAATGCCAAAATATACAATCCCAATGACACATATTACTTTAATTACTATTTTTTAAATACTAAGTTTATTACTGTTAATTTAAAAATTATTCTAAAAAAATGTAAGTAAAAAAAGTCAATATTAAAATTCATTATTTCAGGATCACTAAAAAAAATCAATATTAAAATTCATTATTTCAGGAGCACTTAAAATAAAATCTAAATGATAGCAATGAAAAAAAAAATTCTTTGTCGACATAATCTAGTTCTACAAACAAGGTAACTGTAATATATTTATTGTATTTTTTTACTTGTAAGAAAATTTTGACTCCACAATAAAAAAAGCTTTAAAATCAATATGATAGTACTTAATATGGACACTCGGAACAAAATGAATAAATTAATCGAAACGACTAAGGTGGTGTCTGTGGATTTGTGCATACTGTATTTGATGAATTGCATGAACATGAAATATTTTATTATTCTTAATAAATAATGAACATGCAGTTAATGTTACACTCACAGCATGTCAAAATTGACCAATTATTACATAAGCTCAAAGAGGGAATTCCCCTTCTGTTGATGAAGGGTAATTTTCCTAAAAAATTTACAGCATTTTCTCCGTCACTCCTTTTGAAAAAAAATGTTAATTTAATTTCATTATTTTAATTGCTTATTTTGTATCTTTGCAGATACAAAGCGATTCTGTCCCCGGTGATTGGATCTATAGTATGCTTAAGCATTGCTGCTGTAATCAGTGCAGGAGCAGACAACACCACCAGGTACCTATTTATACTCCTGGGTGAGAGAAGCAATGCAGATAAAGTGCCTTGCTCAAGGAATCAAACGAAAAATGCACAGTGAGAGATTGAAACTCTGACCTTCAGGTTGGGACACCAAACTGTACCTGTGACACCAAACAACTTCTACTAACTTAATTATTTTGTAAGTAAAAATGATTTTTTCATAATTTCCCCAAGTAATTTATGGTTTATAATTGCCATATATTATTTGTTAATGGTTGTTTTCTATACTAAAAAGCCTGGTTAATGCATGGTTGACGATATTCCAATGGGGCGAATTCTGTGCAGTAAATCTGTAATCCCACAAAATATGAATACCATTCATATTCTATTTTGTCATTCTATTGTTAAAAGATTGAATTTTATTGGTTAGGTCAGGTCAAATTGGCAATCATCCCTCATGAATATTCATGCCATACTTACCTGAGTATCCTGCATCACATGTGCATGTGAATGAATTAACAGCATTTAAGCATGTTCCCTTGACACATGGAGCGCTGGAACACTCATCAATATCCTCCTCACAATGTATTCCTGTGTAACCTACAGTAATGATAGGCAAATAAAATAATGATGATAATTAATAATAATAGCAATAAAAACAATACAACAATATAACTATAATATTAACAATGACTACATTTACTATGTTTGTAGGGCTACCGTCACAAGAGAAGGTTTGTTACATTACACTGTTATTAGTAGTTTTCATGGAATTATATTTAATTTTAGCTCTATATAAATGTTTAATCTCCTTTAATGAGATGCATTCCCTTTAATTTACTTATTTCTGTCAATTCAATATTTCGACAACATTCATTCAAGGAACATACTATTAAATATACAGATCATTTACATAGCACTGCCTTCTAGCAGCTATGAAATACTAACACAAATAAATGCATATATGCATGAAACACCTTCAATTTTTAAATATTTCATCCACTTGTATACCATACTTACCTGTTATCTAGCAAGATTATATAATATCTTGTTCTATTTTAAATCTCAAACTTTAAGAAAAGGTTTTCAAAATCAGAAAGAGAAGTGCTGTCATTGTGATTTTATGAACACTAAATAAATAGGCAAAGACAGCTGCTTGCCAGTCTACTACGTCAAGTTTGCTCTCTTTAAATTAAAACATGTAAGCAAGTATTTTGCTACAAGTTCGATTGTATATAAACAGGAATAAAACTGCATTGTGATTTGTAGGGGGAACCCCTAAAAATTATTTCTTTACTAAACATTTTTGGCAATGACAGCATAGATGTGGCAATAGATAAATTAGAATATTTTGCTAACTTTAGCATAAAATAAACCTATTCTGGATTTCTATTTAGAAAACAAATCCAGAATCAGAACAAAAAGCAGAACCAGAAGCTAGCAAAATGAAACCAGATATAGTTAGATAATTATTTGCATACTAGCATAAAGTTCACTCTTTATGTGTCACTCAAATATGAAGCTTAAATTTACAAAGGTTTCGAAAGAGCCCCACCCCCCACACCTTTGCTTACGAGTGGTTGAAATCAACCTCAAACTTTTGAAATTCAGTATTTTGTAATGTATTGGAGTGTCATTTCCAGACATTTTAGGTTTATATTCGTCATTAAAATAAAATCAGGATTTAAATTTGGTATTCAATACCTGCAATGCATGTGAAATATAACACATTGCAAGTTGGTAAAACATACCTGGAATGCAATCGCAGTTGTAACTGTTGAGTTCATCTGTACATGTACCTCCATTCTGGCAGGGACTGCTAGCACAATCATCTATGTTCTCATTGCACAATGTGCCTTCGTACCCTGTGAAACACTGACACGTGTAATTTTGTTTTTCCACTGTTGGCATGCATACACTGTTTAAAGAGCATGCATTGTTGATACAATAGTCGATCTCTGTTGAACAGGTTGGACCTTCGTAGCCAGCAGCACAAATGCACTTGATAAGAAGCTGGTGAAAAACACAGTAGTTAACAAATTTAATTATTTAAAATCAATTACACAATCTTTGTTCATCTGCACATAAATATTGAGTGCCTAATAATGCTTGCTATTAAAATGCATAAAAGTGCACAGCCACCTTTATACTGTCCCTGAAAAAGGTTAAAATCATACATGTGCACGTGAACAATAATCAAACCACCCAAGATGAGAGACACTGCTCCAGGAAGATCTAGTCTTAACAATCCACCTTTTGCACTTGGTTACTTCAAGATAGAGACATCATCTGTATAAGGTATTAAATCAAATCACTGGATACTGAATAGCGAAGCTGTACTGTAAATTTCTGAAAATCACTGTCAGAGTTTGTTTGCTATTAAGTAATGTATTTGATAATATTGTAATACTATTACAAAAGTGTACTATATTGCTAACTTTTATGCAATATATTGCTGTACATTTAAAAAAAAAAGCTGATTTTAGGCTGTGATTTTAAGCTTGAAATCGTACCTTGTGCAATACTAGGCCAGCCAAGGCCTGGGAGTTTGTATTAACAGTTCTGCAAAATCGTACAATAATGAACCACGGAAATACATGTAGTATTCTTATTACTATAATTATATTATATATTATATTATGATTATGGCTAGCATAAATGATTAAATGGAATCGTTCATTTTGATCACGAGGGCAAATGAATGTCTCAGGACAATCCATCTGGCAGGCTAGGCATACACCATCGCTGCATACTATGTAATCACTTCAGTCAACATTTCTCTCAATATATGTCCAAGCTTTACCATTGATATCTTTCATGTCCTAATGTCTCGGATGTAATGTTGAAACATATTTTAGTGATTTGATAAAAGAAATTTCATGTTTAAAATACAGAAGCAGCAATTATGGTGTCGTTTACAACAGACACATTCAGCAAAAACAGTCACCGAGCAGCCATCTTTACAGTGTATTAACTCGAGCGTTTAAAACAATAACTAAGCGAAGTACATATTACCAAATAACTGACAGTTTCTTGCATAAGAAAATATATATATTTTCCTTCTTTTTTTACAGTATTTCTTTAATTCTGTTTTGTTTTTGATTATTTAAGTTTTTGCTTTTGTCTTGTTTTTTTTTTTTAATTTGATTTTTCTAATTTAAATTTTGTATTTTAGATATATTTACTTTTAAATGGCCTTGTTAAAAAACACAAAATTAATCTGTAATCAAGTTTTCTGTTCTCAAATAAAGTCATTATTATTATTATTAATTATTAATATTATTACTAGAGTATCTTATATAGATCACATGACTGATCAGGCACAAAGGTGAATTGCTATGCACAGTCATAGCCAGGTGACTTCAAGAAAAAAAATATTGTACAGTCATGCAAAATATGATAATTATAAGCCTTTCTATTGAACTTCAGCAGGAAATAGGTTAGTTTGTGACAGATTTTCATTTATGTGGGACTGTTTTGACCCGTGAATATTGGAGTCCACTTGATCTCTAACTATTATTAGTAATGAGTGATAATACTGATTCCGTAAATATCACTTGTATCTGTGCTAAATGAATACAACATCCTACCATGTTTGGTGATGGGGTTGCCACATCCATGCAGGTTGCCCCATTATCACAAGGAGAGTCATCACATGTTACCAAATCCTAACAGGTGAAAAAGAAATCCATTTAAATCTAATTACATCAAAAACAAGTAATTTAAAAAAATCTTCTAATCATTTATCAGTAGCGCAGTAGTTGTGCTTGCCTGGCATGAAATTGCCTTTTAGTATAACCTATAAATGTATTTAAAAAAAATAAAATAAAGCAACAACCGAGCTCACAAGTCCAACTCCCAACCCTATTTTTTCAATCGTTTTATAGTTTCAATGCATACCAATTGCTATGTATAAAAATCAGAAAAAATAGAATACAATACAAAATGTGTACAAAAATGCAAAAGGGCCTACAGGCCATTCGTTATTCCACTGCTGCTAGTGCTTCCCACTTATCTATTCTGAAAATTTTGTGGCCCTCGGATTGAAAAATTCTTTATCTGCCCCTGTAAAACCAAGTAAATAATACTCTGAAAAAAGTACACTGAAAATAAACTCACAAAAATCGATACACTGCATGTTTTTCCTGTGTAGTTGGCGCTACAATTGCAAGAGAAGTCGTTGACCATATTTGTACACGCAAAATTATTTTCACAAGGGTTGGAGTCACATTCATTAATGTCTTGATCACAATAACTGCCATTATATCCAGAATAACACTCGCACAAGTATGAGTTAATATGATCCACACAAGATCCTTGAAAACATGGGTTGGAGCTACATTCGTTGATGTTGTTTTGACAATGTTCGCCATCAAAACCATCTGCACATTGGCATGAGTAATCATTCCAAGTGTCTTCACAAGTTGCACCGTTTATGCATGGACCAGAATCACAGACTGCACGTCCCTGACAACCAGATACAACATCAACCATCGTGGAAATAGTAAACTGTTCGGGACTTACACTGTTGTACTGATTTGGTTCAAGGTATGGCAGTAGCAGCTGCCCGACACGGACTTCCTCTAAACAGCCTTCAAATCCGATGCTATTGTTAAAGAATTCTGTATTAGTAAAGTTAACATCACCTAGGTAAACAAGCGTGTTTGTGATCACTGTGTTGAATGATGTTATTACAACACTTCCTGATACATCATCAACATCATCGATAATTATTTTAAGGAGGCTGTGTGTGATCACAATGTCGACATCATGCCAGCTACCATCATTCACCGTTGCACTTGTTTCTAATGTGCCTGTACTACCAGATATGTTGAACTTTAAGAGCACTTTACCGTCATAAATTTGCAAAGTGAAAAATCCATCGGCATTGTTGGAGTGCAACAGAAGGCCATAATTATTGCGCGTACGTAATTGTAGCGACACGCTGGTTAAGTCTGTATTTGTGACGTTGTTCACATACGTGATACCACTTTCAACGGAAAATGTTTGTACAGTGACACCTGCAGAAATGGAAGTGAAATATGACATTTAAATTACACAAAGAATAATAATATAAGGTTTATAAGCTTTGAAAATATTTTGTTTTGAATTCAACTGAAATATTTCTTGTGAATAGACAAAACCTGAAATTGCATTCTCAGATCATTAATGTACCCTCCTGATAATAAAATTGCACATGAAATTGCTGCACCCTCAGTCTAGGAACTGTTGATACATTCTGTCCAACTGACCACCAGGGGGCTGTGATACGCTGCAGTTTCCACGGGTCCCTAGTTACATTAAAAAGGAGATTAGTAATTTATTTTACATGTTTTGAACAGTTTGGTTTCCCAACAATTTTGCTTGTGTCTTTGAGCAAGGCACTTTTTCTGCACTGCTTTATTCCACCCAGGAGTATAAGTGGCATTGATTGGCTGCTGCTGCAAACATTATATGATACTGAAGCTGAGATTGTGTTCCCTAAGTTTTAATCCAATGACTAGGTAATGATAATGTGAAGTGCATAGAGCCCATAGCATGATGTGTGCTATGCAAGTCCACTATTATCATTAAATAGTTATATATTATTTTGTGTAAAATTACGTATATGGAACTGCATCACGCCATCATGTTTATATTTTTGTTGGCTATACTTACATTCTATTCCCCCATCATCCAGGTCGTTACAAGTTGCACCATCCGGACACGCTCCGAGAGTGCAAGCAGTTTCTTCAGAGCAATTCTTTCCTTGGAAGCCCTTTTTACAGCTACACTGGTAATCATTCCACGTTACCATACAAGTTCCATTGTTTGTGCACGGGGATGATTTACATGTATCATCTGATATACATCCCTCAAGAACGTTAAAGCTATTGCTGGACATGACCAACGAATTTAGTGTGAAATTTTCAATGCTAACTGGATAGAATTCAAGATGCAGTTCATTATAGCGAACATCTACAATGCAACCTTTAAAGTAGTCACCAACCACTCCATCAACTATAGGAGTATTCGAACCACCAACAAAGTGTGTGTTAAATAGCAATGAATTGTCATTAGCAGTTGTAGAGACGTTCACAAATGTTTGTGAGTCGACCATGAGAGAAAGTGACGTTTTGTCTCTCATCACACTTAAAAAGTGGTAGTTTCCGTCACTGTAAGCATCGTTGGTTTGAATCTGGTTTGAAAAACTGGAATTAACTGAAACTTTTCCATTGATAAGCTCAACTGCGAAGTAGCTGTGGTCAAGTTCAGAATAGAAAAGGAGTCCGCTTGTCTTTCTGGTTCTAAAGCTGAGTTCAAGTGACGTGAAGGTATTGACATTGCCCGTTTGTGTAAATATAGCAGAGCTTGTGCTGTTTTCGTTGCTAAATGTGGCAGGTACCAATGCTATGTATAAAATTTTTAAAAATCAAATGGATTCAAACATGCATTAAATATCAGCAATGTAACAATATCTTGTTTATGGAGCAAGAAATCGTGTTGTTCCTGCCCATTACCACCTGATTATAAATCGACAGGCAATTTTCCTATAGTCATGACTGAATCAAGGTCCTTGACTGATTTTGCTGAATGAAATTATTATGGACTGCAGTGACGGATTTAACGTGGTGGGGGGTAGCCTGCCCTGGTCTCCTTAAATTTGTTAACAATTTTTCAAATACAAAGAGGTTTAAGAACCGAAATTTCATTAATAGGCCTATATGCATATTATTATGCATGACATGTGGTCTAATGTATACAGTTTGTTCAATCCTAGGTCTGTATTTTGAGCCATCCAAGTACAATATGTTAATGTATCTGATGTTTATAATTGAAAAAAAAATTATTACAAAAAGAATTAACAATTAAGATCCAAGCAACTTTTTTGGATTGAAGATCATTTAATTATCAGTAGACCTAGAAACTGAATAGTCCTACTGTATGTATGCTATTCTTAACTAAGTGATTAACCATTAACCAAGTCTACCAGTGTCACGCAATAAGTGAGAAAAAAAAAAGTATTTTCTACATACTGTATTAATAGACTGTAAAATCGATTAATTAAGCCTTTGTGAAACCCCTAAATTATCACATTTTCGGGGGTGGGGACTGCCCCCTGGACTACTTTCGAAAGATTTTGAGCCACACCTGACCATGTCAACTTTGTTCTCGTCAGGGACATCAGCCCCAGTTGGCGACCTTGGACCCCCGGTCGGGAAAATCCTGGCAATACCCGAGTAGGGGGCCTAAGAATACTGTAAATAGCAAGAAGATGTTCTTTTAATACCCCTTGTAAATAGAACTTCTACTACTTCAGTATACATTTCTACAGAGTATTGGTCCTACTTTGGTAAACTTTTAGTGTGTTGTTTAACAAATAATTAAGTTTATATTTAGATCATAAAATAATTTGTTGTAATTTTGTCCAATGGAATCCGTATTTTTGTTAGACTAAAATGCTCTTTTTTTTTTTTATCTCGAAACATTGTTTTGTTGATTGTGACATTCTGTGCATGGAAATATATCAATCGTGTGTATAAGTCACAGAAGGCATTCCCTCTTTGCAATCCCACAAACACTGACAGTATAGGCCTACTGTACTTGGTGTTGATTCAAAATAACTTTGTTAACTCATAAAACTTGGTGCATTAATTCGACCCAATAGATTTTCACCATAGTTTTCATTACAACTGGCCTTGGACTTGCTTGTCAAAAATTATACTTACAATTATTACAAGTGATTCCAGTCCATGTTGGGTCACAGTCACAGCTGAATGTCCACCACAAATCTACACAACTGCCCTGTCCACTGCATGTTGTGGATGTGCATTGCTCAACGCGACTGCATCCAGCCTGGGAAGTTGTACCTGTGCTCGTCTGCCTCCTCCTTCGTCTGCTAGTTGCTCCAGGTGGTAGAATCAGAGTGCCGTCATTGTTGAATATGTCTTGCATGCATCCTACATAGGCTTCATCTGACTGTGATATTTCTGCTACCCTTGCTTCCATTGATGGATCCACATTTCCGATGAAGAGCTCCCCAAATACAAACAAGTTATAATTACTAGGGATGTTGGTGGATTTGGTCACTGAAGTACTTGCCACAGTGAGAGTGATGGCACTGTTGGTGATGATGACAGTGACGGTATGAAAATTGCCATCATTTAACCCAGAATTCACATTGTTTAACTCCAGTGAACTTTCATTCTCTCCAGAATACTTTAAAAACAATTGGCCATTAAAAAGCTCCACAAGGAAGTAACCACCACCTTGGTTTTCAGAGTACAACAGAAGACCACCTGGGAGGGTTGTGGCAAACTGGAGAGAATAGTTCAGTGTTTCTTTATCTTTCACTGAGGAATCAGTAAGATAGGATCCATCATCAAATGATGCTGCTGTAGATATTTCACAAGAAGTTCCAGTGTAGCCATCCAAACAACGGCAGGTGAACTCATGGGTTGAAGATGTGATATTGTAATACGGGATGCATACAGCATCATTCTGACAGTCTGAACTATTACATCCTATCAAGCGGATGTCACAGTTGATGCCGCCGTACCCGTCAGCACATAGGCACATGTAAGCTGCAACATGGTCAACACAAGTACTGCCATTAAAGCATGGTGATGATTGACATTCGTCGATTTCGATTTCACACAAAACACCTTGGTAACCTGGGGCGCAACGACATTGGAACATGTTCACCATATCAATGCAGGTTGCACCATTAAGGCATGCTGATGAACCACACTCATCAAAATTTGTCTCACAGAATGTGCCTACAAAGCCTAGCATGCATTCACAAACAAAGCCTTCTGCGTTATCGTAGCTGAAACTGTCATTAAATGGTCCATTGATACCGTAGAAACTAGCATTCGACCTCTCAAAGCATGTACCATTATTTTGACAAGGAAAACTTGCACATTCTGGAATGTCAACCTCACAGTTTTTGCCCTCATAACCCGCATGACAAGAACAGTTGTAATCATTAATAAGATCTCTACACGTTGATTCATGTTGGCATGGCGATGACTCACATTCATCTATGTTTATCTTACATGTGTCACCTGTAAATCCTGTATTATTACAGTTGCACTCAAACCTAAGTGGAAAACAATTACCACAAGTTAAATTATTATTTTATAACACACATCAATGATGTTAAATAAAATCTAATAATAATAATAACAATAACATAACATAATAATAATATGACCTGGAAAAAAATACTCTATACCTTTAATAAAATAATGGTCCCTGATATTGGAACTACAGTATTCATCTATTTATAATCATATGGTAGTATGGTACATCTGACATTATATTATCAGAGTTACATGCAAACAAGCATTACAACATTGAAGCTAATTGTAAAATATGTATTCAAAATTCAAACAAAATCTGTTAGTAATGGTTTAGCAAAGGGCATGCTGACAATCAAGGTAAAAGTTATAACAATAATATTATGGACTTAATAAACTGAAACAAATTAAAGAAGTTCGGTAAAATCATGAGAATATTGTAAATTTAAAAGATGGCAATTTCAAGTTAAATAATTTGTTAAAAAGTATATCTGCTGCCCTCTATTTTACTTGCAACTAAGCACGTTCTTGTTTATTTTCAAATACTAGATCTCAACGAATGACAACTAAATTTAACCACAGGCCACAGGGATAACTTTCAAAATACAAATGAATAGTAGAATCTTAAAAGGCCCAGATTAATCATAAAATGAATTTTAGAAATTAAGCAGCGAATTAACACATTCAAATGAAATATTCTTTTAAAAAAATTATGTAAATTATTTTGAAATTAAAAAAATATCAACACCATACTACACATGGTATAGTTATAGAGGGGAAAAAACATATTTATAAAAGAATAATGAAATAAATTCATTGAATTGTATCATATCTTATAACATATAATTCTATACCATTTGGAAATTATAATCTACTAGTATACTAGATTAAAATACAGTTTGGGTAAACAAAAAAAGGAAAATGAACAATGAAAGGAAAGTTACTATCTGATGAAAATAACTATTAATCATACAGCAATGAAGATGAAAGCAGAAAATGTAAAAGAGAGCAATTAATTCAAAAACAGATCATGAGCAATGGAAGTCCACCGTGTGTGCCTTTCACACAGGCACCAACACAAGTGAATTACTACCGCCAATGTGAACACATCCCAGACTAATTTCACTCACCGCATGGATGGTTGAGCTGACAATGTACTAGAAATTAGATGAGCAGAAATGAAACAAAGAAATAACAGAAAAGCAATAATTATAAGAGGTGAAAAACAGTAGAGAATTAGATATGTGCAATCTAATGGGCTTAAAATGCTAACTATATTATAATTATAATATGATACAACTATATTGTCTCAGTTATAATCTACAAATCAACTTCAAACAATGATCATTAAAATATCTTATATTTATTATATCTATATTTCAAAACCATTGTTTAGAGTAGTGCCACAATTTATACAATTCTGCATTTCAAATATCTAAAATTAAGATGAGAGATACAGTATTAGTAAAGATAATTATCAATCAAGTTACATTAACTGATATTGTTAGTTACTGTAATTTAAGACATTATTATTAATTATCATTATAATATTAAAAATAATTATAGATGTATATCATTTTAGATGAGGGTTGTATACAATGAGAAAATGTGTTTCTGTGAATATATAAAACTGCTATCATTATCAATATCATTACAGTATTATTATTCTATTATTACTTTAAATAAAAACTTGCCATAAATTATTAGCTTTTAGGTTCAAAAATTGATAAAATATTTAAGAGATGGATAAATATGAAAACAAGTGCAAAAGGAGGTTGATGACTGAAAAGTAGTAAAATGTATATTAAATAAGCAATATAAAAAAATATGTTAAAAGTGCATAAGTGAGTGTGAATAAGCTCATTAATACAGATCTATGCCCAAGCTGTGGTTCACAGGTTGCATAGCATGATGAAATGTGGTATTGCTATTAGGAACAGTGTCTTTTCAATTTCATACAAAGTGGGGTGTAGTAATCAACCTAAATATGATATTTAATTGTAAGTTCAGAAGTTTATACTTACTTGTTCACCAAATCAATGCATACGCCGTGATTTAAACATGGGGTACTTTCACATTCGTTGAATTCTATCTCGCAGTTCACACCAATATAGCCGGGCATACAAGTGCAGTTGTACTCGTTGATTCCATCCACGCAGGTGCCACGATTTTGACAAGGTGAGGATTCACATTCGTTTATATTTACTTCACAATATTTACCTGTGTACCCTGGTACACAGGTACAATCTACATCACCAAGTGATTCATTACAAGTCGCTCCATTTTTGCATGGTATTGACAGGCATTCATTAATATCAACCTCGCAACGGGTACCGTCCAGACCGGGAAGACAAAGACATACAAATGCATTCTCCAAATCACGACAGATACCATCATTTAGACAAGGTGAACTTGCACATTCATCTATGTTGTTTGCACAATTCACACCATCATATCCAGGAACACAGCTGCAATTGTAGAATCCTGTATGATCGTTGCAGGTACCACCATTCTTGCATGGGTTAGAAGCGCATTCATCTATATCAACATTGCATAGGTCGCCTTCATATCCAATTGGACACTTACATTCATAGTTATCAACTAAATCAAAACACACAGTGACATTATTAGGACACACTACGTTTTTACAATCATCAATGTTGTTTTCGCAATTACTACCATCAAAACCAACGACACATGTACAGTTATAGTTTGGTCTTGGTGGATTTGATGCACAAGTGGCACCATTTTCACAGGGTGTTAGAAAAATACAGGGATCATACTGTTCTGTGCAGGTTTTGCCCATCCATTCTGATGTGCAGTTACAAAAGTAATCGTTGGTGAGATCAATGCAGTCACCATCATTTTGGCATGGATTGGATGCACATTCATTAATATCCTGTCCGCATGTCACACCTACAAAAAATATAAAAAAATTGATCACAATCATAAATGACATCCTCTATACAATATCCATGTGTAGTTGAATAGCTTAGTGGTTAAGATGTTGGCTTCCAATCCCAGGATCCTGTCATGGAAACAGGATTTTTCCCACCAAAAACAACTCCACACCCTAAACCTCATAATGAGACATAGTTTAATGTATAGCACCTTGTGTTGTGTAAATGGATTTGGCCTCAAATACAAATCAATGGAAAATATACGGAAGCATAATAACAGAGAAGCACCCCTTGTATTGTTGTTTGCATTCAGAATACAACAATAGTTTTTCAGCAGACAAAAATCTATGCAGTATGAAAAACCCAATTCAGTTTAGCAACATTTTAGTAAATAATTTTAAAGCACCTCACTGCCAGAGCCTAATATGCCCATTTCAGAAAATGAAAATAAGGAAAGACTAGCCAATGTAATGTTCACCTGTATGTAGGGCAAATCGTAGGAAGCACGTAAATTCACATAACACAAACCCGATCCAGTGCCAGTCACACCAGAAAATAAGCACCTCCAATCAATTTCCAGATGACCAATCAATTCATTTACATTTTTCATTTATAAATTGATATACAAAATGAATGAAGTATTGAAAGGTATATATCCTATAAATAATAAAATGATGATGATTATGATGGTTATGTTACAATATGTGGATTCTGATGATATTACAGTACTGTTAATAACGATATTTTTAAAAAATGGCTTAAGCCCGGTTCTCACGAGAGCCCTAGTATCCGGATCGGGAGCTAACCGTTAGCACCTGCGTGAGACCGTTAGCGGTATCCGAATACGCTAACGGTTAGCAAGCGCTCTCAGTTAGCAAGTTAAGGGCGTTTCTATCATCAACCAATCACACATACGCGTTTACAATTTCTAGTTTCTTACAGACCAGTGATTCGATCATCATATTGTTGGTATCCGGATCGGGATTTTCTCGCATGGACGCACGGCAGCTAACGGTTAGCAAGATCCGGATCCTGCTAACCGTTAGCTGCCGTGTGGTGAGAACATAGCCTTTAATGGCAAATATAATCAAGGTAAAGAATAAAGCAATAATGTTTGTATTGAGAGATGATAGACCAAAAAATTGTGAACGGGTGCCAATTGTAAGATAAGTTCTGATATAACCAATGAAAATTAAAGGCCAGTACAACAAAACCTCTCCTTTGGGACACCCCTAAAGGGGACACTTTTTGGCCAGTAAATGAAAGTACTGTATATCTTCTATCATTATAGCCAATCCCTATTCAGGGGACAATTTTTTGCTATTGTGTAATACAAAATGAAAATTTTTACAATGAAAAATAAGCACATTATCATAAAGTAAAAACATTTATTTGTATGAAAAGAACCAAACATTTTAATAATGAAAAGATATAATCACTATGATCTTAAAAAAAATAAAATCAAATGGTAAGATGCAAACTAATATTACCATGAACAACCAGTAAAATAAGAGATAAACATAGTATAGTATAAACTCAATGATGATTTTAATGACAGTTTATCAAAAATAATTAATACAATGATACAATAAATAAATATATGATGACAGAATGGCTTATTTTTAGGCACCAACTTCCATGGTCATTTTGTGCAGCAAATATAAACATTCAAAACAAAAACTTTCATTACAACAGTAACATTGGCGAAGTAGCGTAGCGGCAGCTTTGCTACGTACCACAACGCTACATTTTGAGTGCATTTCACTATCTGCAACATGCTTTTTTGCCTAGCATAAAATACCAGTTGCATCATGCTATTTAAGCACCATAGGTTTACATGCTAATGGTAATTTGCCATATGCTGCCATACACCATGTGATCTATGATTATTTCTTAACCATATAGCATTACACCATTTCAACAGAAACTGATTGTCATTTGGCAGATTGAGTACAATGACATAAAGAAAAATGAATATTTTCAAATTAAAATTTACTTGCTACACATAACATCAAATAAAACTGTTCTCTGGTCTAAATTGCACTAAAAACGGAAGAACATGAAAAAGGATGTCCAACTATAGTAGACATTTTGATAGAGATTGAATCAAACCAGTAACTATTTTAAAATGATTTACCAACAGGAATAAGAATTCTTAGCTAAACATTGAGGGTGACACACAACCTCTGCATAATATACAAGTGATAGCACCACGATAATACTTTACCTTACAAAGCATGACATGTGTTCTTACCCTGAAATCCAGGTGCACATATACAAGCAAAACTATTGATGTTATCAGTACAGGTGGCCTCATTCTCACATGGACTGGACCAACATTCGTCAGTATCTTCTTCACATAAATCACCCTCATAACCTTAATTTTAGGAGAAATCATACAGAATTATAGCCAGTCACGGGATGAAATATCTGGATGTTTAATAACAAAATTAATGCAGTTCAATATATATATATACTAGATGTCATAAATTTTAATAAATTACCAAATCTGAAAATATAAAATCATCTTACCATCTACACAAGAACAACTAAATGTATTAATAAGATCTATGCATGTAGCCCCATTATAACAGGGGTTTGATCCGCACTCGTCTATATTATTCTCACAGTTTATGCCGTTAAAACCTGGTGCGCACACACAATTAAACATGGCTAGCATGTTCTCGCATGTTGCACCATTGAGGCATGGGCTCGAATCACATTCGTTGATATCATGGTTGCAATTAGTTCCCTGGTAGCCTTCAGTGCAGTTACATTCATATCTGTTGTCATCGTTGAAGCAAATTGCATCATTTTTACATGGGTTGCTGAGACACTCATCAATGTCAATACATTGGCCATTTGTTTCAGCTATCAGATTTAAAAAAATTAAAATAATAATGAGAGTAATAATGTGTTACAATATTTCAATTCCCATGGTTAGTATTAGCAAAAAGTCAGTATTAATATTACTATTTAATTGATAAGAAAAATGATAATGACTAATATTTTGTATATGAGCATGAATAATCATTCATCTCATCACAAATATGATCCTCTCAATCTTTGACACCACTGCTACAGTATTATCATGGTTATCATAATCATCACCACCATTCCCATCATCATAATTTTAATAAGTACCAAAACCACAAAACTAAGAAAAACTTACATGTTCCATCTGGACAGATACATTCATAATAATTAATCAAGTCGTTGCAAATGTAACTACCATTACAAACAATTCCTGCACATTCATCAATATTAATGCTGCAATAGGTTCCTAAAAGAAAAAAAAACATATTACTAACAACATTTAACAATAATAACAATTTTAACAGTACATTTTATATAATATTAATGAGAATCCTGACATTTGAAATTATTTCATTATATCTATTAATTTTGATTTGCAAGTTAAAAAATTATTTTAATGATTTTTAATTGTTTGATATTGTTTTAATTCTTATATAATACAGATCAGAATTATACAAAATGACACTGATAGTTTTGGATAAAATATAACAATTGCTCCCTGGCTCACCTAATTATTCTTATATGTTTGTGAATTTCTGATTTTTTGTATTTGTAATGTTTTATATTGTTATTTGTTTTGCCAGAATGAATAAAATAAACAAAAATAAAAATAAAAAGCAATGACAATATTCAAATTAATAACCAGAAAAATGAAATAAAAATAGTAATGATATCAAATATGAATCATAGAATGTATTTGTTCTCTATTTTAATTAAATTATTATATGGTTCCATTAATATTAAGCCAATATTATAATAAGATACAAATATGAGTATTTCTAAAATAATTATTATACAATAAAACATGCAAATTTAAAAAGGCAAACAAAATCATATATTTATATGAATAGTGTTTAATCAAAAGTTTGCAGTCATTTGAAAATACACTCACCATTAAACCCTGCAACGCACGTACATGTGAAACCATTAAGCTCATCCTCACAAGTTCCCTGGTTGGCACATGGATCCGACTTGCACTCATCCTCTTCCTCCTCGCAGTTAATCCCTGTGAAGCCGATCACACACACGCAAGTGTAACCACTATTGATGTCTAGGCATGTGCCTCCATTTTTACATGGAGAAACAGGGTTACACTCATCTATCGGCTGGGAACAGGTGTGGCCTTCATACCCAGTACTTGCACAATCACATGTAAAGTTATAGATGCCATCAATGCATAAGCCACCGTTCCAACAGGGATTTGATGAACACTCATCTATGTTTGTCTCACAGTTAGTGCCTGTAAAGCCTAGAGAAAATACAAGATACACTTAATAGTCAAATACCTGTAACACTATAGTAAATATGCACAGATTGAAATTAATTTGGGAGAGAAATATGAGTGCCTGGTAATCACCTATTAACAAATCAGTTATTCATTTATTAAAATTTGATGTTTACAGTACCAATACTTTAGGCTGGTAATCTTCAATGGCAATATTCCAAATCTTTATCTAAAATTGCAAAAGTGTTCCCAAAGTAATTGTTTAACCCCATTGTTTTTTGTAAAAAGTGAACTTCAACGCTTGAAACTGATTTGTAGCATACCAAATCACAACATTTTTAACCAAAAAAAATGAGCAACAGTATTCTCCATTGGGTTATTGTATATTTAAAAGTGAATATATTAAAGAAAGGGGTTTTTTAAAAATTGTAGCTGTAATTTCCAATGCAAATAGGAGCATGCTTGTAAGGGTATATATACCACATCAGTCACGGGCATATTTGAAAAAGCAGTTTGACACATCATTTTCCATATTGGTTGTGGTCAAACAATTCTCAGCTGGCTAGCTTGAATTGTTGATGGGCTGTTAGAGGTTCATGCAGCATGCTAGAAATGGCTTTAGGGCCTTGTCTGTGGTGAATTGAATACAAAATATTATTTATCGCATACATCTAGGCATCTGATTGGTTAAGAAACAGGCAATAGAAAGTACTATTATCCTATGGGATAGTACTTTAGACTGCATTGCTAGGTAAATTCAAGGTAACTTATGATACGCACCAACGGTAAAGAAGACGCGACCTCTACGACGCTGAGAGAGATTGGCCCTTTGATCACCTAGGTCTAGGAAGTAAGCCTAGGCTCACTTGGTTTGTACTATTTTCATTACCATACTTTTTTAGGTCTCGTAGAATCTATGTATGAGGTATACAAAACAAACGTTGACTGCTCTAGATTCGGGGAACGGTGTATTCTATTGTCCCTCGGTGATGTGGAGACCGTAGCCTATCTTCCATTGGGCCTACACTACCTCAGAGCAACAGATTTCACCATTCCCCTCATGAGCAGTCAATATTTGTATAATATTCCTCTCATCATCCTTTGATGGAATTATTGACTTTTCAAAACTGTAGCATTAACAGTCTTAAACTCTGTCCACATTATCACATTTCCTTTGACAAAAAACCGTTGTATACCCATATTTAGTCATGGTGTGCCTTTATTTGGCCATGATGTGATGTCATCATGACCTTATTTAGGCATGTCATATAAAATGTGATAGTCCGTACAGGGCTTAAGGAGAGTAAATGCTGAAACTGTTGAATGTATTCAGATGCGAAATATTACTGGCGAAAACACCTATCAAAATACAGTCAAGGGAAACTGTTTCTTCCCAACACTTACCATCAACACATGTGCACACATAACCGTCATTATAACCATTGTTGCCACAGGTTGCTCCGTTTTCACAGGGCTCATCGGAGCAATAGTTAGCAGTTTGATTGCAACCAGTTCCTGAGTATCCAGGAGGGCATAGACACAATGTGTAGTTACCATTGTCTTGCTCTAAACAAAACCCAGCTCCACAATCAAGAGCATACTTTGGGTCATTACCATAACATAAATTACCTAGGTGAGAAAAAATAAGTCAATATTCAAGAAGACAAAAGCAATGATTTATCAGAAAATGACAATAATCATCAAAAATTTTGTATGGGGGAGGGATCACAGGAAAGAGTATGTCTTAAAATGAATAAAAACTTGGATGACCCCTATTAATTTTCTTTACAGAGGGAGGTGTTTATTCCAAATGAGGCTCAGAAGGGGCGTGTATTCATGGCGGGCTTTTATTCAAAGCAACAAGCTTATTTGAATAAATACGGTAAATCAATATTGATTCATTTTAACATTTGTTAATGAAAGTCTAAGCTGATAATTCTGACATCGGATAGCATTCCAATATTGGATCATCCGCTATTTATTAATGTATTATAAATAAATATATATTTTTTTGTAATTTTTATTCAATTTTGTTTTTGATCCCAATAGTTTACTAACCATACAGTAAATATAAATAAATTGTATTATTGGTAGGAGCCCTATAACAAATTTAATTTGTCTAACCATTATCCACCTGGCAAGCGTCTCCAGAATACCTGGTGGTACACCTGCATTCATATCCACCTGTGGTATCGATGCATTTGCCATTGTTTTGACATGGTTGGCTGTAGCACTGGTCAATATCGTCACCTAAAATATAAAATATACACAACATTATTAGTAATCCAACGATTACTGTATATACCTTTAAATGTTAGCTTTACAGTTTATCCAGTCAGTTGTTAGTTGAGGCCACACACTGCACCCAGGGCTGGAGAGAGTGTACGACCCTGTGACATCATGAATGTCCCAGAGGCATTTTGGAGGGGGGGGGGGGAAATGGCTGTAAACATTGGTGCTGCAGGCATTTATCGAGACCCTTTCACGGTCGGAGGCACAAGCATTTTTTTTCCAGGCCTGACTGCACCCTGCATGAGAACCAATAAAAAAAAAAAGAACTTTTCATTTTACAGAAAAAAATAACATATAAATATGAATACAGGTGCACTAAAATGATAAAATGAACTTTTCCTTTTTTGTCTACTATTTAACTTAAATCAAGAAAATCAATTACTCAATTTATTGAACATACACTAATAAATAATAATAGTATGACCAACAATAGAAATAATAGAAGTTACGATTTAACATTATATTAATATAAAGTTACTAATTAAATTTTTTTAAATTTTTTTCTTAGCAATTTACGGAAAATAAATTATACCATTGCTGAATTACTCTTGAATCTGAAGATAAAATAAAGTACTGTAAAATTAAAATATATTTTATCTAAGTATTTATAAAATATTTTAGTCCTTGAGATGTTAGAGTAACATTCTGTGGAATAAAGGTCACTCCATATACCACATGTTATTAGCATACTGACCTCAGTTGAAGGTCAAACTGAAGTGTTTCAACAGGAGCTGTAAAATCCTATTCCATGCAAATCATTAATGGATTTTGCAATAACTACAACCAACAGGAGAAATTATTATGTGTTAAAGTGATCATACCAAACATTTGCACAATATCTTCACTCTCAAATCAAGATCTTTCCCTGCAGGGAATATTATCACTGCACAATTTAACAGATGGAGAAATGCGGCCTGGCGCAGTGATTTCCATTCAGGTTCTGAACCTCGTTAAAACTTTAAAAAAAAAACAATAGAAAATGCCTACCGCACATGATTTTACTGAATTAATAAAATAAATAAAGTAAAAATCTTTAATTTATACATTTATTCAATTAGATTGCTGACTGACTTAGTATTTTCCAATGCTAAATATAAAAATATTGTGTGTCAGTAATATTCGTACTAAAACCTACACAAAAAAAGAAAAGAAATTTTTTACAAACAATTTTTATTATTAGTTTAAGCCTAACATTGTGGTATTTTTGAATTTTCTTTTTAGGAACACTTTTATCTAAAAATCTGACAGCCACACAATTTGGGTTATCTCTAATCTTTAGAAAGTTTGAAGTAGAAACTAATTTACATTCTTGGCCTTAATTTAAAACAAAAATCATCAACATAAATGCAATTTTTGATTTACTTACATCCTTGCTGGGTTTCCAGTGGACATGTTTCCCACTGCACATTCTCTGAGTAGACGGCATCATCAAAATTTAAACCGCTCCCTTCTTCTATGCATCCAAGGAAACCGTCGCCAATAGTTACCAGTTGGCCACCACTCAGATCGATACTGAGCAATTCACTGTCTGGGCCGCTTAGGTAAACATCAGAAAATGCCCCAGAGTTCACAAGAATCTGGACCTGCTGGCCTGACTGAAAGATCTCTGTTGACAATTGTATACTTGTCCAGATGTTTCTGTTCAGGTCTGAACCGATTCTTGTGCTATTGGACAAACCTGAAGTGGACCATAGGACAACTAATTCTCCTGTGGCTTTATCCAGGGAAAATTCTATTGTATCATTATTGCGGCCATTATCGGTAAGTAGCTGACCGCCATTACAAGTTCGAAAACTAAACTGGACTTGGTTTCGGACATTTATGGTGGTATTTAGGACAACCACTGATGACCCATTAAAATAACCAACTCTTTCACCTGTTTGACAGGTAACACATATTATTAACATACCTGCGAAGATCAAAGGAAACAAAGTTATTTTTTAAACTAAAATGCAAAAAAAGATTACAAAATGCCTATAAAAGTTTGAAAAAAAAAACTAAATATCTATTAATATGTTTCTAATAAGAAATATACAATCTATATCTATAGTGTTTTCTATGTTAATAATACGAATGTAATTAATAAAATAATTATATAAATAAGCTAAAATAATTACAGCAGTAATGACTGGATATTATGTCTGTACTTTGATAGAATTTAAATGTTTATTGGAAGCAAAACTCATGTAAAAATAGAAATCCCACAGCTCAATCATGTTAATCTAATTTATCAATAAAGGTAAATAGCAATATCAGATTGTACTGCAGCATGAATATTAGTTGAAAGAAAACTGAAATTTTTTTAAATATTTAAAATGATTAATAAAAATTTAGTGTACCATAAATAGATGAACATGAAACCTGGGTATGAAAAACTGGGTATTAAAAACAAATATCTATAGTGAATACTTTTATAATTATTGTAAAACTATTGATTGTGTAATCCTATAATTTAAATGAATAATGTAATATTATCAACCTACATAACCTACAACTCATTGAAGAGTATTTAATTATCTGTTGTTTTTAAGCTTGTATTTTCTCTTAACTGCATCATCTATTTGAGTATATGCCACATTTAAAATGTGTATTGTAATTCCAAATAAATAAATAAAAATGAATTTTCTTAAAATATCAACCTACACTGCTCTATACACCTTCAAAACATATTTAACAATAAATAATTTTAAACTCATTTTCACCAAAAACTGTAGGACCCTACTATACTTCTTAACTAAATTTCATCCACCTTTCCAGCATCAACAATTACAATCCTTAAGAGTCAACATGAGATCTTTCCAAATTTAATGTTTTGAGTGGACTGTTGTACTCAGACAACAGACAAGCATACAAATTTAGTGCATGTATGACCTTGACCTAATACAGTAATTAATATACTGCATATCTTTCCTTGACAACACAAACTGCACAAAAAAAAAAAAAAAAATTAAAACCACAATTTGTAAGTATTGTGGTAAAACATTGATTGGTTGTATTGTATCACCAAATCTTTTAATCAACTAATGCACCTTGAATAATTTATGATTTTGTTTCCCCTTTTGTGTAATAATTCTGCATATGTTAATTACAGTACTGCATTATTAAATTTAACTGAGACATATGACAATATTTGAAAATATTACATGCATTTTTATAACCAAAAAATTAATATAAAATATTGATTTAAAAAAAAATTTACATAATACTAAATTCATTGAAGATGCATTCAAAAAACTTTCTAAAAGAAATGCTTCTTTTGTTTAACAATGTATATAAAATCACATATTTCACTAATCCTCTAGATATCACAGTTATTCTCCATATATAGCAACTAATACAGTAGGCATATGTGTGGTAATTAACAACCTGTCCTCTTTCCAACCTTTTAAATTCTAATACTAATTGGAAAGTCAATTATTAATTTAACATTCTTGTAATTCTCGTTTAGATGACTAACAATGAAGGTGTCCAAATTAATAACAATAACTATCTTCATCATCACCTAATTACCAAGTATCAAATTATTTATCGCATTGTTTGGCTTAGGAATTGCTATAACACTAATTGTTTGTCAATTAAATTCTTACTATTGAAAACCTGGAATGGTGTCTAACCTCCATGGTATGATGGTGTTGTTTTATACCTCCTTGGTGTTGTGTTGGTCATTTGTTCTGATGGTGGTCCTAGATAGTTTTAGGCAAAGCTACTGTATTTCAGGGGTTCCAAATCTCCTGCAGGTTGCGGGTGTCCCCCAAAAATCGGGAGATTCCCGCATTCCCATAGCAAGCAAGAACTTTCTGGTAACAATCTACTGTATCGCCTGCAAATTCATGATACTTGCATGTTTTTAGTAGTAGGCCTAACTGTATTTATTATCAATCTCCTGGAAGTCAGTGTTGAGATGGGTAACACCATGCACACCAAATAACATCTCATTTACACAGGTCTCCCGGAAGTGGCTCCTTTCTACTTGGGACCCCCACAATTTATAGATTTTATTTTATTCTATTTTTAACCACTTTATTGTTGTAAAGTTCATACATTGCCATGCAATTTTCATCTTTAGGCCTATAATTTCTTCATTCAGAAACTCATTTTCATCTCATAAAGCACACATTTAAATCCTAAGTTCTTTGTGTCTTAAGACATAAAATTATATCACGTTTTCTCCAAAAGAAATCAAGAATATGACCAACTTGTTTAAAGTGGCTGAAATAACATAAATATTATTTGCAACCAGAGAACCAACTGTCAATGTTTTATTGAATATCTTGAAGTTGAAGGCCACAGACCCTAGGAACAGTGAAAGTAAAAACAATACAGGTGTGGTGAATTATGGTATATGAAATGTCTATACATTGCCCCACACCCTGATAAGTCAGCACTGGAATGCCAGCTTTCAACACCAGATAAACAAAGGCCAAAGGTTGGCATGAAATACTAATACAATGGGCCTGTACGATCCATGCTATATAATACTCATGTAGAATGAGGTGCTAGGAAATGCCCATAATTTTGCAGTGATTCATGTTGACTGATCTATTATCTTTACTTGCATCATTTATTATCACTACTCATAACTGTCCTTTATTTTCGCAGGATTGTTCCACTTTCATAGGCCCAATAATTTTTTAAATTTAGTTTATCACTGTCTAGGCTGGAAAGGTGATGATGGAGGAAGGCTTTTTATTTTGTATTTTGCTAAAGCCACATTACCCTTAGATTGTTTGCTGGTGCATTGATATTCAAAGTTTTACACTTTTTTTTTTTTATAAAAGTCGACCCAGTAAAATTTTTCCCAAGGCTCAATGTTCTTAGTTTTGGCCAATTTCAGGCTTGAAATGTACTTATTTTACACACTTTTCAAAGATGCAAAATTAATACATAGTCCTAACAGCAGTATATACAGAACTGTAAGTATTACTACATTAATTGCATCTATTGCACATAAGGTACAGATAAGACCAAATAGAATTTTAGACACAAGGGTCTTTTTTCTCTTTATTTGTTAGTTTCTTTCTGAACAATATGCATTTTTATTTAAAAAAAACCTATAGTTTAAATTTTTCTCCAGCCTCAATCTGTTCTAACTTTTTTTAAATGTAATTTCAGCCTCAGTGTTCTTATAAAATTTGTTCTAATTTTTTCTTAAAAAGTGTATACTGAAATGACACACTTTTAAAAGGCTGAAAAATATATACACATATTTAATAAATATATGTATGCATTTCTCAATATTTAAAAATGTGCTTGCAGTTCAAAGTCAGAGTGGGAGGAGCACCATATAATATTTGCTATCTTCATTTACATAAACAACAATCATCCCAATAAAATCATACACATTCTTCTCACAAATATTGTCTCCATATTTGGTCATTAGTTCTTACAGCGAACAATCTGCTATTGTACATAATTCTGGAGATCATTTCAGCCTTCTCATTTATTGCAATGTTTATTTGCTTTTGAAAATGTACAAATAAAAAACAGAGTTTTGCAGGTCAGAGTGCCCACTTCCAGACAAAATATGACTGTACAAGTTTCACCACCATGTCACAAGAGCAAAACATTAAAATTAAAATGGTGAGATCTGAGGAAACATTGTTCATTTTATAATTACAAATTATAGGCTTAGTTTTAGTATATCCTATTACAGTATGCATAATGGCCATCCTCATCTCCCCCACCATCTATAACGTGTCCCATTTTGAACGTAATATTCATCCTTTTAGAATGTGTCCCAAATTTGGGGTTGACATGTCTGCTACACATTCCTATTCCTGGCAATATTTCTTTCAAAATACAATATGTTCTAAACCAAACCTTTCTAAACATTGTTTTACTGGTGTCAATTACTTGCATACTTTACTGAATACACTTCTTCAACTTCTGCTTTCAAAATTACACATCTATGGTATTCACATAATCATGGTATTTAATAACTGTGATAACTTTATCAGGAAACACTGTATGTTACATTACATAATTTATAACTGTTTTTTAATTTTATCACTTAAAATTGTGTTTTTCTGTATTAAAAATGATCAACAAAATTACAAACAAAATAATTGTAATATGTATTGACCACACAGTTAAATTTTATTACAATTTACAAACAACTATTACATAAAGAGAATTAAAGTATCATTGTAGTTTAGTGTGCCAAGCCTAAATTGTATAACATCCAAATTTATAACTATTCTTTAATTTTAATTTATCACTTAAAATTGTGTTTTTCAGTATTAAAAATGATCAACAAAATTACAAACAAAATAATTGTAACATGTACTGACCACACAGTTAAATTTTGTTACAATTTACAAACAACTATTATATAAAGGGAATTAAAGTATCATTGTAGTTTAGTGTACCAAGTCTAAATTGTATATCAGAGGGATATGTTTAAAGATTTATCTCTGCTGGTAAAATTCTAACAAGTGCGACAGTTGTTGGTCAAATTGTTTTGATAGAATGAATGCGTGAATCTGCTCAGTGCACTGGTGGAATTGGATTATATTTACACAAATGAACAAACACTCAATGGTTGAGCTACACCTACTCAGGTATACAATGTAAACAATAAGTCCCATAACTGAATAGTAAAACCACTATACAGATAGCTAATCCTGAAATATGTAGTCTGGTATGGCACAAACCAACAAGATTGAAACAGCTCAGCATGGAACTACATCTTCATTGCATAAATATACTTCTCACTCTTATATTAACTATCTACCTCATTAATTTTAAACGCTGTAGGAATCTACTAAATTTCTTGTGAAATATTTTTCTTAAATTCTTATACTGGGATGAAAGATTTCAAGAAATGTGATTGTTAGCTATTGTGTTCTTTTTACTGCTACCAAAATATATCAAAATAATAGGTTATATTGTTTAAAATGAAAGATATCCAACAATAATAGTGAAAATAATAAATATTAATATGCCAGTTTTTTATAGCACATTTTGCCAACAAAAACCTTTTCACAGTTCAAATGAATTGGTGTTTATGAGTTGAGTACAATAGAAAGAATGTCCATTGTGGGAACTAACAATATGAGCAGCTAACATTTGTGGGAAAATGTGTCTGATTATTGCAATGTAAATGTTGTAACAAAATGGCACAAAGCAATGACAACTTGAAAACCTGCTGTGTAATTTACTATTCTTCAATAATTTGAAACATGTCCTAATGAGGAAATGCAAGGGTGTATATTACTACTGTACATGGCTATGAAAAAGAGACAATAAATTTACAATATAATGAAGTAAACAATCTAATATTAATAAAGAATGATATTAACTGACTTAGTTTATGATATTTAGTATTAAATAGTGGGATATTGCTAAGCCCCGCAAGCCTCCAAAAAACCCCCCGCAAACCCCATCCAAACCCTCTGATAACAATTGAATCACATAGTATAGGACTCAATTTGGTATCTCAAATTGAATCCTATACTATTTGATTTAATCATTATCACAGGGTTTGAATGGGGTTTGCAGTGTTTTTTTTGAGGTTTGCAGGATTTAGCAATCATCCTTAATAGTGCAGTAGTAAAATAGGACAACCAGGATTATATAAAACAAATGTGTGGTTCCACAGCATGGTATTAGGAGAAATTTGTGTATAACAGTATGTGTTTTCAGCTGCCTGAACATAACTTACAGATTATTTTATATAAAAAAAATGCACAATTAACTTTTAATAATAACCGCTACATTTTAGACAATTCAGATACTTTAATCCTGAATAAAGTACTGAGAATTAAGAAAACAATTATAACACCCAATAACAATGACATAGCCGCAGGTGAAGGCAGCTGTATATCTAAAGCGGTCTGTGCGCCTGATTTCACTCATCACCACACAATTTTCTTAAATTAATGATTTTAAAAAAAAATGCTTGATTAGTCATCAACCAGGTACAGTAGTATAAATGCAGACTATTCTAGGGGATTGAACCTCAAAAACTAAAAGCTGTTATAGTTTAAAGAAATTGATTTTGATGGAGAATGTGATAGCATTCCGAATAGTGGTTAATACACTTGTGCCCAACTTCCAACCTCATTATCCTACAGTAGGGTGAATCAGTAGAACTGGTTGGCACATCGGTTGTGGCTTGGACTCCCAACCTTGAGGTTAGGAGTTTGGAACTCCCACTGTGCAAGTTGCTAGTGTCCTTGGACAAGCCAAGCCACTTTATCTACATTTGTCTCTCTCTCTACCCAGGAGTATAAATGGGCACCCAGTGGTTCACTACTAGGGAAGAAAAAGGTGGCGTGGAAAGGAACTGGTCATCCTACATGTACCACACAATACCAAGGCTTAGTACGATGATGGGCTAACAGCTCATTCCCCTATAGTACATTCAATAATGAATATGTACTCGTACCTCTAGGGCGAATCATATTCATGGATTGTATCATGTGACCACACATACTGTACTGTATACAGTAGAACCCCTCATTTACGAACCCCGATTTTACGAATTCTCGATTTTACGAACGTAATATAAAGGTGATGACGTCATAAAAATTGAAGCGAAAGATTAAAAAAAAAAAAAAACCCGCTCGAATTGTACCTGTTATTACCATGCATACAACACAACACACCATACTATACAGTACTATGTAATTCTCAAGTGAAGGAGGCCCTCTAACGGGCCTCTTCAACGTCAGTATGGCTTCACACATGTTTATGTGACTAATTTTACTTCCCTTTCAAACATCGTTTTCAGCTTTAAAATTCAACATAGTGCTTGATTGTTTTATTGAATCATCAATATATATAATAAACAAGTATCTATGGAAGTTGTGTTGGAATAAAATCCACGATCTAGGTATTTAAGAAGGTAAAAATGTCCGATAAAAACAAATTTGTGCAGGGCCTAGAGTGGGATCAGAATGCTCAGACTGTCTCTTATACACATCTAGATGTGTATAAGAGACAGAGTGGTATCATTAAGCCTGTAGGCCTAGCCTAGGCCTAGTTTATGCCAGTGTAAGTAGTATCAGTGCAAATATATAGGAATTTGGGTCAACCCCGATTTTACGAATACCCAAATTTACGAACGGCTCTGGGCCCGTGCCGTACGTAAATGAGGGGTTCTACTGTACATGGACTTCAGATCAACAGGTTGCAGTCACTACTATGATGTTATGAACTATGCATTCATTGTCAAAATATTGACACAATACAAAAGTCAACCAATTCAAATATTATGTCAGATGGGGAGATTTCAGAATTAATTATAGGGCCTATTTATTATACAGGTAGTTAATAATTTTTTGTTATTTAATATATTGTCAGCGACCAAAACAAGCTGACAAATAATAAAATTATGACACACACACTAATACAAAAAGTTGATAAATTTAAATTAGATATTAAACAGATACCAAAATAGCTTAGTGTGGATTTGGTTTAATAAAGAAATTTTTAGGAGAAACTATAACATAATAAATACTGGTAGTATATAATAAGAAACATGTAGGCCTACAGGTATAAATAATCATGATTTAAAAAAAAACATGAAAATCAAAAAAATATTACAATTAAATATCAAAAGTAAACAACCAATAAATGTGAGTAATGGATGATGAAAGCAATGCATTTCCAAATACAGTTTTAAAAGAGTTTTGCTAATGCTATTATTAGCATGTATTGTTTTGTACAGCAAATGTGAGTGCTTCAGTTTTCATAAATTTTCATGCGCACATATTCAGAAATTACTTCCTGATATTGCTTAATTTGCCTATATAAATTTTACAATCTATCCCAGAGTTCATCTTGACTAATTAAAGTCTAGAACATCTCTGGATTAAAAAAAAATAATAATATTCCTACTGTACAACTAAAGCTGCTATTTAAATATACAGGACAATATAATCCATAATGCCATATAATACAACATGGTATCTAATTTAAATAATTTATAATAAATTCTATGTCAATATTTGTGAGATGATTCTAGCAAATATGATAATATATCCACCTTGGCAAAACCAAGATTCAATCATATCCTGTCCTATTGTATACTAACGCTTACAGTATTTAAAAACAAAAATGAATAAAAATGGAAAGAAAAACAACCTACAGCCTACATGAATTGCTTGAAGGGGCTCCTGTGGTGGTACACTCATCTTGAATGGCTGGAAATTAGGTGATTGTGATGACAACAAAAAAAATGATGAGACTTGTGCAGATGACAATACAGTGTTCCGGAATACCGTACAGTAGCATAAATAATTCACTAAAATTCTCTTAGCAATTTTCTCATCATTGTTTTTGGTTTATACATTATCTACAATGTTTTTGAATTTATTTTGATCCATTAATTTTCTTTTGAGCACTTGTACTTCTAGATTGGTACTCACAGCTACTGGGATATTCGCTGACGTAGATGAAATTCACAACGTAACAGAAGCATGTGGCGCACAGTAAGGTATTAGCTTTCAACGAACGGTCTGAGTTTGATACCAATGCGGGTCACATTCAGGGGCAGCATCGGCAAGTTGGCCAGCTTGGTTTATGCCTGCCCATCTAGAAGTCGCGGTAAATCCTGGCCCGAGAGTACTAAAAGTCTCTGAGTGACAGTGACACTTGGTCACAATTACGGTGGACTGAGGTGGGAGTGGCCCATCTGCTGTGAATGAGAGGCAAACCTTTTGGGGGAACTACTGACCCCACCGCTAGTCACATAACTTTAAGTGACTTTGAACAAGACACTTTACAGGTCACTGTAGACCTATGCTTGTCTCTTTCCACCCTTGAAGATGTACTGTATTTGGTAGGAGACCAAAAGAAATTTAATTTGAGATTAAATTAAGCAGTGCAGAATTAGCTGCAGAGACTATTACTGTATTACTGTACTCTTGAAGCGAACAGAGAAGGATCCACATTAATTTAGCATCCATTGGTCAATGGCAGTGCAAAAATTGGGTATTCTTTCTGCGTGCTATAAAATCCTGACTACATTAACACAGGAACATAAAGCAGGTACTAGAAAGTTATCTGAATGTGCAATTAGCTGTTAATTAACATAGAAATGTTTTCCTATTGTTAAAGATTTTAAGATGGTAATTATATCGAATGGTTTAAACTTGGTAAGGACAGCAGGCATGAATAAAGCAGTTTTATACCCATGAGCTCAAATTGCGTGTTCCACAATTTTCACGCTGCTTGACTCGCACTAGACTTGAGTCAAACTCGGCCTATTAACTATTATTGCCACTGCCATCATCATTATTGTACTTGCAGTCTCCTGGCAATGAGGCTGGTGAATACTGTAGTTGTTGATAACGCCGTCCACACCAGCTATTTCCTAAGGTATACTAACTGAGAGTCTCTTATTGCCAAAATATTTTAATAGATCAAATACTGTACAGTACATCACATGGTTTGCAAGTGGAAATCACATACACATAAACAGAAATTAAAATTAGGTGAACAATACATTGATGATTGTAAGAAATATGAATGAGGTTAAAAAATGCATTACAAAAAAATGGGTAAGAATTTACAGTATGCCATGCAAAAAGAATTAAAAAAAAAAAAAATGAAATACCAACCATATGATAAGCAATGAAATGAAATATTAACGACAATATGAAAGAGTACAGTAATTAATAAAAAAAAAAAACTGATAAATAACCTGCCACAGAAAATGCTGGATTACGAATAAAACAAATGTCAGAAAATTAAAAATTGGACAATTGACGAGATGTTTCCAAACTTTAACAACCAGTACGCTAGTCTTAGAGTGGTTAATTAAAATTAATTGCTAATAAAAGTTTGACATCCAGGATTTCAATTTTTCTACTATACAGTAGGCTTTACTAGTGGTAAACAGGTTGGTGAATAACAACAATTGTTTTTTTTTATAAATAAAATTAGTAAAATGAATCTTTGTAATCTAATATATTCTATCATTTTGTTTCCGCTTCTTTAGGTTTTGATAGCAATCATTATAGACCGCCATTTTATTTTCCATGGAAAAATGATTGGTTTTTCTATTTTTTTGAAGAATAGCAAATAGAAATTTTTTTAATGAGGCTCCAAAAATAAATAAGCCTCATTTTATTTGGCCTAAGATAAAATTTACTATTATTTACTATATTGCTACTCCTATAAATTACATAATACAGTAGGATACAATTTGTTTATAAAATCCTAAATCATAATTTCATCATTGTAAAAATGAAAATGATTTCTAATTATATAAATTTGCCTTTGTATTGCACACACAGCTAAATTTAAAATAATAATGAATCAGATCTTGTGGTACTGTAGATGCATTGCAGCCATATTTGAACCATTACGGTACTCATTGTACAGACAACAATAGGCTAATCAATAAACCTGTTATTCATCTCACAGAACACGTAAGTGTGCATGCATTATATCCACATCCTTGACAGTGTGTATGAAGGTAAGGACAGGAATAATTATGCCTGAATTGAATTTTCCTACACAATATTTAAATAAGGCTGTGGAAATATTTGTAGTAACATAAACAGGTGATACATGCAATATGATGATAAAATTGCCCACATGATTGACCCAGACACTTCATTCATGAGGTGATGACCAGAATGGTCCACCCCAACACTATCCACAGGATAGTTAAAAAACCAAACAGAGTTCACATGGGAGATATTGTGTATTAATCTAGTGAATATACAGTAAACTACTTTATTACCATAAGTAATAATAATATAACAGTATTAATTTTCTAAATAGTATGGGCTGGTTACTGTACTATAAAAAAAATAATAATCGCGAAGCCTATTAAATTTCATTGAAAAATATTGTTCTTGTCCTTTCATTATTTCTTCCTCTTGATAAATGATGAAGCATTTCTAATTGAGGTTGACATAAAAAAAACTACAAGCCTACAAAATTATTAATAAAAAAAAATGTCCTTTTCAATTTTAATAATTTACATAATTCATGTAAGAAAAATCAAATAATATTAATGATCATAAACATTAAAAAATTGGTGAATAAAAAAAAACACACACACACACACACAACCAAGGCAACCAATCATAATAATCAAATTAATTATGAACACATGGAACTGCCAAAACCATAGAAATATCACAGATCATGGAAATGCCTGACATTATTAAAGTATAAGAGATCAACAAAAATGTTAGTAAACATTAAACAACAAAACATGGACAAAAAATTGTTAATTTAAAAACAAGAGAATAGAATTAATCAGGTACAGTATGACAATCTATGTTTGTCAATGCAAACTATAGGCTACAGTAGTATGTTAAATATATATTACAGTAAATTCCAAAATATCAAATTGCATGAAATTTTATATTTTAAGCAAAAAATAAATACAATAAATAAAATATGAGAATTGTTAGAGCAGTCTAGAGGCAATACATTATCAACTGAGAGTATAGTATTACGTACAGGTTAGTAAAATCATGGTAAAATTAGTTGAGCGCTGATAATAATAACCAATACAGGAAACAATTCTATTTATACAATTTCCGGTCATAATAAGATCGGAATGCATATCCGACAGCATTCAAATCTCTTCACAATGATGGTGATTAGTTTCATAATTCATCATTAAAGGGGTTAATAGACAGTTGTGGATCCAAGGGGTGGCAAAATGGGCAACAGACAAAAAATATATAACCAAAATTGTAGATACAGAGCAAGCGAATTTACTACTCTGAAATGAAGCTACTAACTGCTAACTGTTAGTAATAGTATCATGGTCACCGTGTAGCCTAGCTAGGCGGGCCGGCGGGCCTATGCTTGAACATGGAGTTATAATTATTAATATTTTGAAAACAATTATAAGCCAGAAATTAATGCCATACCGCGCCGTGGGTTGTTGTTTAAATTTAAAATATTCCTTTCATTTGCAAACTGTTTGCAAGTAAGGAATAACTTGATCTAAAACATCGAGACTCAAAATCTCAGATTGATTTGAAGCAGTCGGGAAGGAAGCTAGCCCCAGATCGCCGCTCGCTGTCTCACCTACTGCAATGCCGGAAACACCTAGGTAAGCGCCGTGGCAGATCCGAGCAGCCAAGCCAATTAGGTAGAACATTAATTTGAATAAAATCGAGAAAAAAAAGAGAAAAACTTACCAAAAAGAAACAGTAGTATAAAAAACCTACAATAATTCATTGTAACGAAGCACCTAAATATGGGTACTTAAAAAAATCGTGTGTCTAGACCTATATCAACAAGTTTAATCGCTACATAATTCTGGTCATCCTTTCACTTACACATTCCATTATGAGCATGAGCTGTTATTGCAATGTTTGAGCAGCAGCAGCAGCAAGCTGTTGAGTCAGATCGGTTTGGAGCATATAGAGGGCGCTTTGCACGAAATCATGAAAGTTTGATCGTGCTCCGATTCAGAGCTGAGCAGCTGATGATAAGGCTGGGCCTTCATGAAACAGTCTGTAGTGCAAAATAAAATGTTGAGTTTGTAACCTAGTGTCTTTGATTACTTATTTATATTGCTCTACGTGTGTATTGAACACTTTCGTCTTCATGATCTGGTTCAAACTAACCATGCAGATATAAAGTGTAGAATGCTTTAAAGTCAGACTCCGGAGGAAAAAATGTTTTGATATGTTGTAGAACTGATTTTTCTAAGACAGAAAAAAGTAGTTTGACATATCAAAAAATTTATTTCCTCCGGAGCCTGACTTTAAACCTAATTCATCTCAGATGAATTTCTTCACTAATGTTCTCAGGACAGCTTAGTAGGGCAAACCTTATCAGTTTTTTCAAAGTGAGAGGCGTCACCATTTAATTGCTTAATATACAAAGCTTAGTAACTTAAGCTTATTTAGTTTGTTTTTTTTTTTTTTTTTTTTCTTTCTGTTACCTTTGTGTTGTTAAATTCTTCATATTCAATTTTTCTCGTATTTTCCCCTTGTCTTTGTGTTTTTTTTTTGTTCTTGTAGGCATATTATACCACAGAAGACAGTAAATTATGACAAAACCGATATTTTTATTTTTCTATAGACAACTTTTGAATTTCCCTCACTTACTTGATTCCTTCCCACCCAGTGTTGAAAAACTTGGGAGACTGAAAATCATTTAAGATCCAAGAATAAAGATTCACTTTATTTGTACAAAGAGGGGCTGCCCCAGGAATTCGCCGGCGAGGGCCGAGGGGTGAAAGCTTCCCGAAAAGGGGTCCACGGCCCCACCAACCCCCCCCTGTCGGGGAAAAACCCCCCTGTCGGGGAAAAATCTAATTTGTCGGGGAATTTTTTTATCACAAGATAAAAAAAATTTTGTGTTTCTTTATTCTTTATTTAAAAAGAATGTCGGAGGTACTAGTGCGTCTATGGGAGGTACTACCCCCTGTAGGAGGTACCACCCGCCTTTCGGGGAAGAGCTGGAGCACCACTGTAACCCATACGATCGTAACAGTATACAACACCTCGCACATACGGTAGCACTGCTCGCACTAAACAGTTTTTAATCCCTAAAATGTTGACAGCTTAGAAAGACATGCTTGAATTGTACTTTCGGCGTTGGAGATAGGACTATGATTTTTCCCTGACGACCTTACAGAAAATTCCCCGACAGGGGGTCCAAGCAGGGGGTTTAGAGGTCACCGACGGGGGAGGGGGTAATTTTCCACCCTGGATCCCCGCTAGCGCAGCCCCTGGTACAAAGTATGAAAAGTAGTCAAGTGTTCAGTTCTGAATTTGAAAATAGGTAAACTTTTAAGTACTAGTTAATGAAATTAGGTAGTGTCCAGTTCTGTTCTATGAAAATAGGTGAACTGTTCAGCACTGATTATAATGAGAGTAGGTAGTGTTGAATTCTGATTTATGAAAATAGGTAAACTCTTCAGTACTGATTAATGAAGACAAGTACTGTAGTGTCCGGTTCCGATGAAGTAGGTACTGTTCAGTTCCGATTTATGAAAACAGGTAGTGTCCAGTTCCGATGAAGTAGGTACTGATTAACTAAGTAGGTAAGTAGTGTCCAGTCCTGATTTATGAAAATAGGTAGCGTTAAGTTCTTTATTTAATTATTCACTGATTCGTGTCTTCCACTTTCTAAGTTTGTGAAGATTCAGGATTAACGATTCACTATATTTGTCCACAGTATGGAAATATATGAAGTGTTTAGTTCTGATTTATCATAGGTTACTGTGAACTGCTCAGTACTGAGTTATTAAAATAGGTAGCATCCAGTTCTGACTTAATTGTTCACTTGATTTGTGTTTTGCACATTCTATGTTGGTGAAGATTCAGGAATAAAGATTCACTTTACATATCTAGAATATACATATATAAAGTGTTCAGTTCTGATTTATGATAGGTAAACTCAGTTCGGCATTGATTAGTGAAAATAGGTAGCGTCCAGTACTGATTTAATTGTTCACTTACTTGATCTGTGTCTTCCGCCTTCTAAGTTTGTGAAGATTCAGGATTAAACATTCACTTTATTTATTTGTCCACAGTATGGAAAAATATATGACGTGTTCAGATCTGATTAATACACTTACTACAAACACTGGAATATATAAGAGTATTGAAAAATGGAGGAGAAAAAAGTGAAGTGATTGAAGAGTAAATGAGTATGCTGGCTGGCAAAATGAGGTGATTTTTAACTACTTGAGCATCAAAATTATTTTCTTTGGCTTCGAAAAAACATTTTCAATGAGGGAGCTTTTTTCTTTTAAAGGAGGTGGGTAAGGGGTGGGAAGCACCTTTGTAGACAGGCTGTTGCTACAAAACCTTATAAAATATATGCACATAATTCAGGAAAGATTGTTTTGCCTGAAATTTCTGCATATCCAGATTTTAGTGACTAAAATGGAATAAGATGTTTAAAAAGCAGTTGAAATTCATTTACACGTACTGTAATGATTTTATTCAATTGAATATCATATTTTTGTTGGACTTAAAATAAGTCCCTCAATGGCAAGTACTATTGCACTTGCAATCCTGCCCTTTTGATGTTTGTTTTTGTTCTTTGGCAAAATTAGTGATATGATATTCAAATCAACAAATACTTTATACCAATTATGGTTTGTGAACCATTTTGCATGAATCAACTAAAAGCGAATTATTCATTACAGATATTCCATCAAGACATCAATCAACAGTTTTTAATACGATCATAAAAAGGTAGAAACTGTAATGTTAAAACAATACCACAGATTTCTAATTATGAAAACTACTTTTGACTGCCATTATAAATTGATACATTGATTAGACTGATAATATTAATATTAAAATAAAAATGATATTAAATTACAGAAATAGAAATTATTTTTTACTACAAATAAAATTAAAATGGCTACCTAAAGCTAGTTCAAATTAGAATCCTTTAACGATTGTTCTAAATATGCAGTTCTCAAACCTTTTGGTCAACGATCCAAACAAATGTCAAGAGAATTTGCCACAGCCCACTTCCCAGGATGTTAAAAACAGATACTCATAATGGTCATTCATTAAAATTGTTATATGATACTTAGAATGTGCTCTCCTTACTACAGCAAATTTTAGCATGATATTAAATTCTGTTCTTAAAAAAATCCCTCTAATTTATTTGGCGACCAAATTTAGGGACACAACCCATAGTTTGAGAGCCGCTGTCCTAATTCTTTTGAGTGTCTTTAACTATCCAGATTTCGTTAAGTCTGTTAGTGTCTGAGGGTTTATTGTACTGTGATAAGTACACATGGTCCCTTCTTGAGAAGCCTAGCTTATCAAACTCTTGCAGTGCCTGCTTTGTTATTTTCTTGACCTTCATGCTGCCAGCTCGACCTCCAAATGCATAAGCATACACAACCTTCCCTTTGTCTTCGTTTATATACACCTTAAATAAAAATAGTGTACATAGAAAGATAATAAAGCGGTCTGGTATTTAATTAAAATTGCCACTGACTTAAATTTCAAAGCAGACATGTTTTGAGAAGCATCCCATTATTAGTGCAAATAGGAAGATAATAACATATTATTTTATTTTATTATGGACACACCAATGTAAAATTCTTTTCAAGCAATCAAATGTAATGGCAGAATATTTTTAAGAATGTTTTTATGACATTAAAAATTCTCCCAATGCATTATTATCATACTTTTCTCTTTGATTTTAATAATAATGTGTTAAAAGATGTTGCTTACAATAATGTTTCATTACAATTATAATGCGCTCCTTTTCACATTGCAATATAAATAAAACATTTTTCAATTATTATGATACCATTGGCATTTTGTCATTAAAATCAGATATATTTTTTCCAATCATCACTTTTTACATAATAGCAATTTAGTATTACTGTATGTCTGTAATCCTCATTCATTATCATCACTATAGCCATGATTGCATTGAACCTTTTAGGTCAAACTAACTATATACCTGGTAAATTTAGTGCAAACAGCCTGTGTAGCATTCTTCTTAGTGAAATTACTGAATCTGCATCGTAAATTTTACCAGGCGAATGTTATAATAAATTTACAGAATGTATCTGCAATTTGACTGAAACCACACATGCGCAATTAAAATCCTACTGTCAGTGGTTTGGCATAGGCCGCAGTATGGTTTCACCAAGGTAAAGGTATGTTCAGTTTGGCCAAAATTAATTCAATGCAAAATGGCTTTTAGAGATCAGAATAACTATAAACAAATAATAAATGCTTGAATTACCTTAGCATCTGTTGGTGTTGGTGGGGTGATGTCATCAGGTAGGTAAAAGCACATCTTATATTTCTTCCTGCAGGAAACTTTGTCAATTTCACCAACATTCATCTACAAAAACCCAGAAGACATATGAAACTATATTTATTAAGATGATACAGTAATAACTATGTCATTAATATTATAAAAAATAATTTTAATGGAGAATGAAAAAGAACAATGTTTTTTGACTTGTATTTTGTTTTACAGGCCACGCCTTGCATACCCAAAAGGCCTTTAGGTGAAAAATAAATTCAAACAACCAATATCAATAATAAATCTAAGTAACGCTGCACAATCAATGGCATCCAAACATGGTGAAATTGGCAAGCATCAAGGTCTTAAGAAATCTTAAGCTACAATCTTTATACTGTATGATTGAACAGAAAGATATAAAGCAAAGATACAAGAAACACAAGATAGAGTTCTCCACAGGAAAAAACTGTTCCACCGAAATGCATGGTGGGAATACAAACAGTTGGGCGCCACGTACAGCTGGACCTAAGAAACCTCTGCCTAACTTTACATAAATGTGAATACATAACCTCCTTTTGAGGAGGTAGAAATTGTTGCTATTATCCATAAGATACAAACAAGTAGGCATAAATAAATCAAAAGATTAAAATGACAGACACAAAAGCACAGAATCGTATGACCAGACTCTGATTTAGTGATAAAAGGTTCCATCATTAGCGGAAAGAGAAGGGCGCTGCGTACGTCTGGATTTACTTAGCAACAGAAGAGCGCCCTGTATGTCTGGACCAGGTATAGATAAACTTGCTTAAATAAAAAGAGAAGGGCGTTGCTTACGTCTGGACCAAACATAAAAAATGTGACGTATTTCCACCTCATTTTTGATATGCGAGTGCTCTAACTTGTGTTTCTAGTATCTTTGTATAAAGATAAGAATCGTGACCTACAGAAAAATATGTTTTTGATCATCTATATTAGAAAATCCTCGACTGAACCGGGCTCCTTATCATTATTTTTCATTTTTGTACATACATATTATGAGAGACATTTTTATATTATGTTATTGAGTTCAAAATCAGTAAAAAATAACAATAATAAATATTACAGATACTTGTGATGTAATTATTGGCAATTTTTACACCAGTCTTAAATGAAATTTTCCGAACTGTGATTGGATGTTATTGTATGTATGGATTGAATTAGAATAATAATATCCAATCAGAATTAAAAATTTGTTTAAATGGGTGCAACTATAGCCACTGCATATTTGATAATTCTTATAATGCAATCACTAGATCCTTACATTCAGAATAACCGGTGATGTCACTTGAATCTTCTTTTGCTCAACGTTACCTGCACCAGAGATGTACTTGTTAAGACGCCCAAAATTTTCAGAAGTGGCAAAATCAATACTACATGTTCTAGAGTGGCTGCATACCCACTTAGCTGAAAAAGTAAGTTTTAATTAATTATGGTATATACAAACAAAGAGATGGTGATGTTGGAATAGCAGAGTGGGGAATTGCAAAGTTAATGACTATTGATGAAATTATAATAATGATGGTAATAATAATGTTAAAATAATGAAGATGATGATGATGAGGGTTGTTTTAATTCATATTTAAAATATTATATGTAATACTAAGACAATAAATTCTGAAGTGTATCAAGATACACATAAAAATAAAATTTTTAAAAAACCTCAAAAAATATATAGTACTTACAGAATTTCATGGCATCATAGTGTTTATCTTATCTTACGTAGTTATCTTATCTTACTTAGTAATTGACTCATTCTGGACATGTGTCCAATGTGGGAAGCAACAATGGTGATGGTGATGACGATGTTTGTTGTATTAAAGGTATTTTTAAACACCTGTAGTATTATTGATTGCACCAGCGTTGAGAACAATTACAGTTATAATGAATAACATGTAAAGTAAATACTATGGACGTTCATTGAATATGAAATGGTTTGCTTGGGTTTTTTTTTATGTTGCTATTTACCTGGTTCATAGGAACGTTCTTCCAGGTTGCCATACACAGCCACAACTTCATAACCGGGGCATTGAATACCAGCAATGCATGGTCCTGCCGTTGGCTTAGTATCTTCATCAGCATTATCATCATTCTCAGTAATTTCAACAACTTCATTTGCACTGAAATATGGACATTTTAAATATATACTGTACATCAAGGCAATTCAATAAAAGGACGCTCATCTCCGGACATTGAAATTTTACGCACTGCACACCCCTACATACTTGACTGAGTTTAACATGCACTAATTGTGGAAAAAACCATAGCAACTTACCCACGCGCATGTCAGTTGTCATAATAATCGCACGTAGTGCAGTGGTTACAAAGGCCTAAATTATATTTGTTATTGTAACATTAATTTTACTGCTCAAGTGGTGTCCGGTGGTTCATGAGTATGAGTCTCACAAGTTTTTCTGTATCTACTTAAAATTTATATGTTCGTTTTGTGCACATTAGTCCAAGATTGTCTAAATGACAATTTAATGCTATACAGTATAATGAATTTTACATTAATCATTATATGAAGACATATTACTATTGATTAAAAAATCATTATTGCAAGACAGATGGATGAATTTCAGAAAAGGTAACTAAACTGAGGATAGTGTAAACATGTTGAACATACTTTTCTGTGGTGGTATTGCAGCCTGGTTTATATGTAAGCCACACTTCATTCTTTCTGTCAACTTTTTGCCATGGAGAGCTGTAGCCTATGAAATAAAATTATGGCAATCTATTGAATTAATTTATAACGCAATTTAAAAATGAACATTTTTCAAAAATATTTTTTTATAATTTAATTTCAAAACATAAAAAATAATGTCTTCAGTTTGTCGAAGTGAGAGAGTGACTTAAGTAATAGCAAAGGCGGATTCAAGAGGAAACCGGTTGGCGTTTAGAACCCAATAAAACGTTTTTTGTTTTTTTTAAACGGGAGAAAAAAATTCACAATCAGGTTTTTAGTATGAGAGTACATCTAGAAGTGCCATAGAGATAAAAATCTGTAACTTAGACCCAACCATGGTGGGGTTGAGGTGGTCTGGATCCCCATCTGTCAAATTCCTGGATCCAACACTGAGTAGGCCTATATACTTTGATTTATCAGGAAAAACACAATAAGTGTTAGTGTTAATTTACTATTAAAGCCATACAAATAAAGTTGTATGGGCAGGAGAAGGATGCATGCAACTGAATTATTTACAGGTGTTTAAAATGTACATTTTAAAGCATTAAAAACATGCTTTTATAAAACTAACCTGCTAATATGAATGGGTATTCCTCTACACATGGCTCATTGAGGATGGATTTCAAATGATTGTACTCTTTAAATGTATCAATGGACATGTATCCACCAAATGTGTATGTGAAAACCTCAAGAGAGTCATACACTTCAAAGTAAATTAGCTCCTAAAAAAGAATAGGTACAACATCAATTGATTTTAGAGGGTGATGCATCTTGTCATAGAATAGCCCTAGTTGTGATACCACAGACAGTTTAAAGCCATATCATCTGAATAAAATGTAACAATAAATGATGAATTTCCTATGAAAATGCAAAGGCATCAAAATAAAAATATTAACACATAATAAGTTTACTTATAGAATATTACACTTCTTGCTAATACTATGATCATTAATATCACTCACACTCGTAAAAAAAACATTCACATAAAGGAAAGAATGTTTGTAGAGATTAGGATTGCTGGTTGATTTTGAGAGACCTGATTGTTATTTGTAATTCTAATAATTCCAGTTTAAAACAAACATAAACTCCTTGGGGTAGTGCAGTGGCTTAACATCTATAAGCTCTCACTAGCTAAAGCACGGGTCCTTAAACCTTATGGGGCCCTGGGACATTCAGCAGTAATTCTTTCTTGCTTAAAATCTGCATTGTTTAGTGGAACATGTAAAAAAATTCAAAATATGCATAAGTGGATGGGACTTTGCCCAGCACCCTACTACAACTTCTACTACCTGGACCTAGCCTCCAGAATAGTAAGGCTTGCAGAAGTTTTAACCAGGGACCCCGGGCCTCTTAGTTACACCAGTGGGTGGTCCCTGCATTTAGTAGTAGCAATTCAAGATTCAATATAAATTTATTACAAAAGAAATGGAAGTCTTGAAATATAGAAGAAGCAATGCTTGACCACAGGTGGAGGAAGCCTGTCGACACTGAGATACTGTTCTACTGTGTGTGGATAAATCAAACCTAATCTGCTTTGTTTTTTACTTTACTATATTTCATTTTTTTGTAAAAACTTAAATAAAATTGTGAAATATTTATTATCACCAAATATACAATTAAGATTAATTATTATTAATAAAATTTACAATATAAACTATCAGACATCTGAAAGTCTCTGTAAAAAAGATAGCCACATACAACTAATGAAAGCACATTCTAATAAAAATTAATATTTTCAGATTATAATGAACGAAAACTTACATCTATCGGTTCTGGAAGCTGGTATTTGTAATTGTCGGGAGCTACGTACGCAATTCTGTAAACAGCATCGCAATCTTGAGGTCTATCACGAGGGCGGTCTACACCAATTATCACAGGAGCTGTACGAGGTATCTTCATGTTCAGTACATTGCTACCTAAAGAAATGTAAATAATTTAAAAAATAACTGTGTAGTTGTAGATTTACATTTTTGTCATAAAAATTTATATAAAAAATGGATTATTTATATACAGATTGTGTGGATTTTAAAAAGTTTTATTGAAATTAATTAAATATTTATTTTGTACTATTTTATGTATTATATGTTGTGTTTTAGACCCTCACAGGAATAGTTGAATATATTTTTTTGCCACTCTATGGTGTATCAAAACACTATGCATTAATGAATAATGCATTATAAAATAAACAAAATGAAAATATGAATTTACTGAAATAAATTCTGATTTCAATATAGTTATGATATACTTCAACAACATTTTTTCTAGCCTAATTACTTTTCATTAAACATTAAATTGTATTTACGGATAAAAAGAGTACACTACAAACCAGAAAAATGAATGTACTCTTCAAAATCAATTATCAATTAATACACAGTTCTGTACCAATCAATCCATTAAACAATAAGGTTATGTTCTCACACGGCAGCTAACGGTTAGCAGGATCCGGATCCTGCTAACGGTTAGCTGCCGTACGTCCATACGAGAAGATTCCGATCCGGATACTAAGAATATGATGATCGAATCACTAGCCAATAAGAAACTGGAAATTTTAAACGCGTATGTGTGATTGGTTGATATTTAAAACGTGCTCACTTGCTAACCGATAGCGCTTAGTAACCGTTAGCGGTATCCGGATACCGATCGGCATTCTCACACAGGTGCTAACGGTTAGCGCTAACGGTTAGCTCCCAATCCGGATACTAGGGCTCTCGTGAGAACCAGGCTTTAATCAATTAATCAAAAAATCAACGAAACAATAGACTTTATTAATTTCAAAAGCAAAGTTACCGTGTCGCAGTTGTTTTAGCTTTTATCATGCAGACATTGCTATAGTTATACTATATAAATGTTAGTGAAACAAAATTCTAAACATACCATTAAAGTAATTGTGAAGAGACATGTAGGATTCACGGACAGCACCGCTGTAATTACAGGCATTCGACCTTTTGACAACCAAGGTTAGGTCAGTATAGCGTCGTAGTTCAATATTTTGGTTCTCATATTTCTTCAATATTTCATACACAGGGCACTCATTACCTAAATAGATTTTAGGAAAAAGAAGTGTAATATCAAAATAAACATACAAAATTGCCAAGCTAACGATGTCAAATGACAGCAATAATAAAAAACCCAAACAAACAATGATAATTATATAAAGCACATTCTTAGAAGAACAATGCTTTAAAAATTAGACAATAGACAACCACATGTGAAGAAATGAATGAACAAAAATATACCACTATCTTAAAGTTGTACTGTGTGTCATAAGCTATAAAATTTGAAATATTCAATGCCATACATCCTTATAAGATGCCATTATTATTATTATTTGAATTAGCTAATTTCTATATTTAAGTGAGATATTAACTTAAAATTAAAAAAAGTTCCCTGTCAATTAACAGACAGTGTAAATACCCCTTCCCCTTATTCTTTTGCATAGACCATTAAGTTGATTGGTAATCAATTTAAGGATTTATGTATTAAAATGTTTAAATCAGTCAAAACTACTTTTTTTTTTATCTGTTTCTGGTTGGACGTTATATAATTTTTTTTCTTCTTTACAAAGTCTTTTTTTAATTTCCAAAAACAAAAGAAGTCCCGTGCTCGAGGACACACACAAAAGCACCTAACAAAAGAAGGAAAAAGAGACAACGATTGTTCAAAAAAGTTGGTGGATTGAGGCAATGCCCCAGGAAACTATACCGGGACACAGAACAATCACCTCAGGGCAAACACTCCCAATCCAAACCTGCCGCCAATCCTCCGCATTAAAAACACAGAGAACCAAAAGCAAGCCCGGACCAAGAGGACCCACCACAGAAACAACCAACCCACGAACCAGTGCAACCCTCCGTCGCACTGCCCCACTCCACCAACTCCAAAAAGCCAACCATCATGATTGTACAAATGTCTCCATGAGAACAAAAGATACCTGGTTTTTTTTTTTACCGTACCTTTGACAGAATGAACACACATCATTATTCGACCAACACATAAACAAACCACATAAATTTACAACCTTCTTTTAAACCTAAATTTTATAAATTCCTTATATTTTTTTGTTGTTGATACAAATAAATAAACCCCTGGGCAATCCTAATAAAATCAACTACAGTATTTTACTTTATTTAACTGTGAACTCATACATAGTGCTTCTCTCCATGCCAATATTTCTTTTCACTTATATAAGTGACGTTATATAAGTAATACTTTTAAATGAGCAATTCACAATCTTAATTGAATTTTTAAGGTTTTTGCAACACTTTTTGCAGAAAATTTATCTTAAATTGAATTAATACACCACAGATTCATACCAGTGCATTCATTGGTAGGGTAGATATCAATATCTTCTAAGCATTCCATTTCTTCTGAACTGCTATCCATTGGAATCCAAATTTCATTTCTTCTATTGAGTACTTTTGATGGACTGTATAAAAGTATAATAATAATCATAAAAAAAAATTACTGCATAGTATCATTTATTTTTTGAATACTGAATATTGAATCATCACTAATAACATACTGTAGAGTACAACACTCACCGATCATAGCCAGCTGTAATCACGTAATCCTTATTGTAAGTTTCATTGGCAATATTGAGGGCGTCCTTCATCATATCGATATGAACCTTCGCGATGACATCTGTCATGAGACCACCAAATTGATGAGCATAGTAGGTACTATCTGGCATACACTCAACAAACACCTTACAAAGAAAATGATTCACAAATTCACATTCTCAATGTATATTTATTTATATACAGCAAAAATATTATGTTTAGTATATCGCCCAGGGCTACCTTAACTGTGGACGACTCAAAACAATTGTTCAGTTCACAGCTAGTATGTTAGGTTGGCTCAGGTATCACTTCGAACATTCACACTTATGCTTTTGTGCCAGATTTTTGTGTGAAATTTTATGGTATATGATGTCAACACAAGGTGACCTTGGTGACCCAGGTTCAGTTTACGTTTCAGATATTAAAATGAGTCAATCCAGGTCTGGCATTACAGGACCTGAGCTGACTTTAAAGTTGGACCAAATCTAGGTTGACTTAAACCGAGGCAGTCCTGAGCTGATGTAACTATTAAGAATAATTAGGATCTATGTTGCTAATCCATCTTGTATACTTTTGATCATTCAGTAGGGAGGTTTCGCACACGAACGCATATGGTTAATGTGACAGATACGTCATCATTTATGACATCATACTTTGGTGCTATCCGCTAAACGTATGGACAACACGCATATCTCGCCCACTACACCTTAGTGAAAAAGGCGAAAAAAAAAAATTTGAATTTCTGGTAAATTTTTTTTTTTTTCACATTTTACAGTAAGTGTAAAAAGTAAATGTATCTTTGAATACATACGTGCCATTTTTGTGACATTTAAAGACAGCAAATTACTATTGGATGCGCCTTATTTTGGGATATCAAAACGTTGGTGCTTGGACCTTGGTGATGTCAGGATTTTTGTGTAGGCCTAGCTTGTAGATATTCATTTTTGGGTCATAAACAATAGCGCCTATCACAAAATATCCAACACTTCTGGGCAACAAAGGAAGGAGTACTATTCGGCTACCATTTTCAATTTTAATTTCCAAAACCTTACATGCTAAAACTTTGAGAAGCATGAAAGAGAACAGAAGAAAACAGAATATAGGCCTAGGCCTTAAGCTAAGGCCTAGGCCTAAGCTTGAATTGTGCTGGGATTTCGAAAAACACAGAAAGGCTATACGGTTACGAATAGCTAAACATATGCGTACACATATTCGTTCGCATAAAAAACCTCTCAAATATGAATACTCAATATCTGTTTGCATAAAAACTTACATCTTCATCTAATGGCTCAGGAGGTGAATCCCAAAATTCTTTTGGAAGGAAAAATGAGAACTTGTAGCTGGTAGTTGTCATTGACTCTTGTGGGTCAAAGCGAGAAATCACTGGAACAGTCATCGGTATCTCAACACCTACAGATACACAGACAATACACTTGTCACTTTGTGGTTTATATGGAGGTATGCATTTGTACCATTTGTTTCATTATAACAAACAGAATTATTATATATTTCATTTTGAACTTAAAAATAAAAAAGAACTATAATATATTTTTGTATTAATACAAAAAATGATTTTATTACAAGATATTATTACTAAAACTTAGGTTTCCTTATATATTAATAGAATTCATACACAGTAAGATAGTTCTTGGTGTTTTGTTTCTTTTCGTTTCTTTTCTTTGTTTGGTGGTGGTGGGGGGGGGGAGGGAGTAATGAGTCTGCCAGCTTCGCTACTCCAAGGATAGGCAAAGGTTTGCATTAGCCTTGTTGATATGTGGAAATTTCAAACTATCAGGGCATGGAAGCTGTTTGGCTCAGTGGGAATGGTTTCATTTTTCAACCCTGAGGTTTAAATCCCTTGCTTTACATTTTGCTTGTGCCCTTGAGAAAGGCGCTTTATCTATAAATTATACTTTTGTAGTTAGTTTGAATTAAAAATTGAATGAATTGTAAATAATTAAATGAATATTTGCTTTTAATAACTATTGTACAGTATATGTATATGTATTGTATTATCCAAAAAACCTAAAATATATTTTTCAAATTATTATTTATTTCCTACTTCTCTTATTTATGTATCTTACTATGCATTATGTTGTTTTGATCTTGTATTTGCTAATGTTTGCTCTTTTGCCTTGGAGATCCCTCAATAGTGTTCTACACTTTTCGTTATCCTTGGAGGGCTTTTTGTTGTATTTTTCTTTATCCTGAAATGTTGTATAAAATAAATAAATAAATCTGCATTTTCAACTTAAAAGAAAGGCACAAAATATTCAGTAACAAATAAAAAACAAAAAAACACTAATGTGTACACCTGTTAAATTATAGTAGGTGGTGTAAATATTAAGAAATATGTAAAAAAAATGAATCTGCTGAATCAGGTTATAAGTGTGGCTACACATGTTTTACTATAGTATCATCATCTGCAAAAGCACAGTATTACTTTAATAAAATTTATTCTTTTTGTTAGTATAAACTCTATATGGCCAAACAAAATCTGCTGTCTACTATTTTTTATTTCAAACACGTTTTCTCTACATTTACATTCACTTAAAGTCTCATTCCTGAAAAAATTTTAGTTGTTAAGAAAAATCAGATTTTTATATATGATTTATAAATATAATATGAAACTGCCAGTATAACTGACTTTAAACATTCCTAAACATGAAAAAAATGTAAACTAAGACTGAAATTTGATTTTGTGTGTTCCACACAAAATCTAAACGCGGATGAATTTTTTATGTTTGATATTGCGACAGGTCTACGAAGAAATACAGTAGGCACCGGAAAAACATTAGCCTATCCAAAAATGCTAAGCTAGGCCTAGCCTTACCTCGATTTAGGTTCTGTATCAGACATAAAAACGACCGACATGATAATTTCTGTTGCTAATATTGACACTTGTGAAATATAATATTTCAATGGAATTATTTTAAATTTGTTAAAAAAATTATTCTCACCGAGTTTTTGACAATTAAACAAACCTATCTCTGGCTTACGTGATCAACCGCAGTGTGCAAGATGCAAAGTACAAAACTAATCTCATTAAAGTACAGTACATCTATACACAAATGTGAGAGCATTCCAGGGGATTTGATCTACAACCTCTGAATTTGCCTAGTAACGAAGAAGTCAGAGAGCAGCTTAGCTCAGTCGGCTAATCTGGTGGTAGCCACTGTGTGTGCGCTGAACTGTGGGGATCTCTAGGTCCCCGGTTCAATTCCCATCGCTGCCTCTCCTTGTGTTTCAGCTAGAGGGCTGAAATACAAGTTACAATAGCTCACCGTCTTTCGGATGAGACGTTTAAGCCGTTGGTCCCGTGTGCATTATGGCCCATGTGCACGTTAAAGAATGCAGTACACTCTTCGGAAAAGAGTAGGGGATTGTCTCCCGCTGTACTGTCCAATCACCACCAGAAGGACCCACTGTAAATAAGTTTTCTTCTAGACTTTTGTGGGCTATCCTTGGTATTTACACCGAATAAATCCAATCCAATCCAGTCGTCGAGAAAATGGTAATCTCCTATGAGAATAGTCTCTATTTCTCTTTTTTTTAATCCTTTTGCGTAAAACTAAAATTTATGCCAATATTTTTCCATGGTTTATAATAATTAGAGTCATATGCATTTTTTCTAAAAAAATTCCTATTTTTTTAGTGAAATTTTGCCGGAAATGGGCTTTAAGTAAACGTTAGGATATATACTGTATGCACTACTTACCTTGTTTATTATTGCCAGTAATGTAGGAGTAGAGTTTTTGGAAGGCCTGTCCACGTTTCCACTTAGCTTGGAAGTAGGTGGCGTTAAATTTTGTCGAGACCCACATGCTACGGTTATATGTACGTACTTCATAATCGTTACCTTTTCTTATAACATGATATTCTGGTGTTTCATAAACTCTGTAATATGAAAAAGAAGCTTGAACAATAATTGATATGACACCATTTACAACATGATGTGTTAAATTATTATACAGATGTCCCTTGAATTTTTGTAAAATTTTGTAAAATTCTGCTGAAATACAAATAAGAACCTCAAAATACTGAAAATGGCTAATGGCCAAAGGAAGTTATGTACTGTATTTACAGCTGTCTGTCTGTTAGTAAGATTACGCCAAAATTAATGCTAGGGGGATGCAAGGGGTGGGGGGTGTGGACAATCGCACCCCCTCTAAATTGCATTAAGAAAAATAATTGTTTTATTGTATTACCATTAGGTCTATATACTCAGAATTTTCAAAACATGGTGGGCCTGAGGTAGTGTGGACTCTCACACACAATTCTCACTCAAAAATTTTGGCAATAACTTTTTTGTTACAGTATTGAGAAATTTGAAAATTTTTAATCGATTTATAGAGTATTTTATCTTTTTTATTTTTATTTTTATTATTGAAAATGTTTTGTATTTTTATAAGAAATTTTTATCTCTTATATTTTATATATTTATTATGTTTGGTGACCCACTCGATAGAGATTTGAATTTGGGAAGCATGCCTCCTTTTTGTCTGTTTTTTGGTGTGTTTGTTTTAATCTGTTGAGGCAAATAAATGAATTGAATTGAATTGAATAATGAATGGATCATCATAACATTTAGTGTAATGGTACATAATATTCAGCAAAAGAGAATATAAAAATTTTGGGAAGAAAAGTTCGAAGGACAAGGTCAATAATAATAATACAAGTAGATTGTATGTTACTGCAAAATGAGCAAGTTAATTTCAAATTTTTTTTTTGTTCCATTTTCAGGGGACTATACATTTTTAATGGCTCATGAAGGATTTACTTATAGTGATGTTCATCCTGGAAAGTTTTCACAAAATAGAAATAGTGATATACTGCAGGAATGTTTACCGTGGTTGAGATTCCATTTGAAGGACTACCTCTGGAAAGACAGTGAAAGAGGGCAGTTCAATCCTTTCTCTAGTAGTCTCCATTGGTGTGACATTGGTTGTAGCTGGTGCTTCCTCTGTGGAGTCTTCCTGACAGCTAGTAGACAATTTTATCCAAACCTCATTTCTTGCATTGAAAAGTTTTTTGGGAGATTCATAACCTAAATGAAGAAAGAGGAAAGCAACTTTCAAAGACATTCCTTAGTACTGAAATTTACTTTCAACTGATTAACTGCATGTAATGAAATTTAATAATATAATCATGTTTTAATTTTCAATGAAAAAAATATAAATAAAACTACAAACAAATCTTAAATATGTACAACACCTTACAGCAAGGCAAGTTAGAGTTTAATAAGCTATTTTCTTTATTAACATTATTATTATTTTATTTTATTTAATTTCATTTCACCCCTAACAGCAAAAATGCCAATAACAGGTAACATACAATAAATACAATATGAAATCACAGATATAAAATTAATAAAATCATTATTGATATGCTGACATAATTATAGCTTTAATAAAGTAAAATGTAAATACCTGCAAGGACATATGGATACTCCTCAATGCATCTGGATCCAACAAGCTCACGCAGTTTCTCATATTTGCCAAATGAATCATCTTTTAAATTGCCTTCAAACATGTACACATATACATCAAGTGTTTCAATGGTTTCTATGGTAATGGAATCCTGAAAAAGAATTGACATCCAGAAACATAACTATTGCCATAACATACGGATAAAATAATGTATAAATTCAAGAATATTAAATATTTTTGTTCAATAAATATTGTTATCCAACATTACTATTGTTATGTAAAGACATCAATTAATAACAAGGTAAATGTATTTGATATAGTATTAAAATAAACATTAATTACAATAAACTTTGTTTAAATAGTATTTTACTATGTTTATTTTAAAATATATCAAATGCATTTACTTTGTTATTAATTGACGTCTTTTCATAACAATAGTAAAGTTATAAAAAAAAAGCCTACTGGAGAGTGAGCCTCGTTGTGTTAGCCTGCGTATAGGCTACTTGCATATCTGTGATTTGACAATCGTCGCACCACCCTGGGCTCCGTCCCAAGGGACATCTTGGCACATATCAAGGTAAGTTTGACAGAGTACTTTGCAGTACTGGCACTTTCTGCCCAAGGTCCGAGGACTTTCCCCCAAGTAAAACTTGGATAGCAAGTCTTCCAGATGGCCACACACCCATTCTGTGTGTCACAGAAGTGCTTAAGAATAACTTGCGCTTTTAAATTGCAAAGAACTGGTGTCAATTCTAGTAATAAAAAATTAAAAGCTACCTTACATTACATTGAGCCAACAAAATTGCAGAAAAATAAATTTGAAACATAAAGAACTTTAAATTCTATTAGTAAAAATACATAGCTTCTTTAAAAAAGTCATTATTTCTAAAATATGCAAATGAGGTCAATGTTTATGTTAATGAGGTCAAATGAAATTTGCCATGCTAAAACCAGCATCAATGACTAAAACAAGAAAACTGACTTTTTAATATATTTGTGCTTTACATTATAAGCTTTTAATATTATAGGTCATTCACTGGAATCAACTTGCCAAATTTATGAGTATAAACATTACGGCTTTTCTCTACTAAAAAGTATACAATACTGACACATTCTTACAGAAATTTTAATATTTAGCAACAGTTACATTTAATCATTTGTATTCTCGGACTGTTGTTCATCATAATTCTGTTACAGTACTTTTCCCCCGAATCTGGTCAAAATTGCCTGATAGCCTTAAAGATGTCTTGACCTGCGAGTCACTTAGATTCTTTTTAAAGCGTTTCATACTTTCTTTCACACAATGTAATTATGTTTTCTCAATGTAATTTTAATGTTCAAATTGTCATTTCTCTTGGGTGTTTTATTTTTATTTTTTTAATTATACATA